CCTTCTTTATCTTCCTCCTCACCCTCACCCTCCTCTTCATTTTCTTCATCACTTCTTTCATCTTGCTCTTCTCCCTCTTCATGAGCCTCACTATCTTCCTCTTCCTCACCATCTTCCTCTGAACCTTCCTCCTCATCCTCACTTTCAATGGGGTCTTGATTATCTTTTTGTTCCACAGTTTCAGCATCTTCTTCTTCATCGGCCTCACTTTCTTCTTCGCCACTTTTTGCAGACTCTGCAGTGTCACTTCCCTCTTTGTCCTCCTCCTCTTCTGATTCGTCGATTTTGCTGTCAGCACTCTCGGATTCATCGCCACTTTTGTCTTCTTCATCCTCACTTTCCTCCTCTCCTTCTTTATCCTCTTCTTCACTTGACTCTTTAATTTCACCCCCATCCTCCTCATCCTCTGCTGGTTCACTGATCTCGGAGTCACTCCCTCCATCACTTGCTGCCTTACTGCTTTCTTTTTCCTCACCTTCGGACTCTGTAGCATCACTTGTATTGCTTCCTTCATCTTCTTCCCCACTACTGGAGCTTGTTTCTTCCTCACCCCCTTCACCCTCAGATTCATTCTCTTCCTCATCCTCACCCTCTCCTGAAACACTCTCATCTTCAGCCTCTTGGTTACTGCTAATTTCACTTCCCTCCTCTTCATCTTTGCCTTCCACTTCACCTTCACTCTCTCCCTCTTCATCCTCCTTCTGTTCCTCACCTTCAGTATCTGTTTTGTCTGACCTCTTATCTGAAGCCTCTTCAGATGCCTTATAGGTTTTCTCATCTTCATCCTCTTCTTCATGTTCCTGCTGGGAAGTGTCCAAGTCTTCACCCCTGATATGATCAGACGTGACACTTTTCACCGTCTCCTGTTCTGATGTGTCATGACTGCTGTCATTACTTTCTTCTTCTTGTGCTGCATTTTCTGACTCTGATAGGACTTGAGCATCATCCTTTGTGTTGTCTTGTATGTCATTTGATGCTTCTTGGGACAATGAGGAGGAGGAGAAGGAAGACTGCGTAACTGCACTCTGCTTTGTGAATTGTCTCACTTTACCGTGTGTTTTACGTGGTGTGGGGGTACCTTTGTCACTGTCAGACTGGAATCCCCCGACACTTGTTACTGCCTCACTAAGCACTGCAACAGCTGCACCTGCCAGCCCAACAGCAGGAAGATAAGATGCTGCATTACTGAGAATTTCCCCCCACCTGGGTTTTCCCTCAGTGAGGCCCTGATCATCCTCTCTGTCGGTTTCTGAAACAAGCAAATCCATACCAACAGGTGCAGAGCCTTGCAGGGATTTGGCACCGCTGACAGAAACCACCTCTGTTCTCTTCGGGCTTTGTGAGGAATCTGGGTTACTTATCACTTCAGTAGATACATCGTGCTGTGATGACAGCAGGCTGGGAGCTCCAGTCGTCTTACTCCTCACCTTGGCCTTCGTATTATCCTGTATTATAGAGTCGACATTAGCTTCATGTCTGAGTTCCTCTCCTCCTTCTCCCTGTGGTTTTGCTTTTGCCCTTAGTTCAGTTTCCGATTCTTCAGCCTTCTTCTTGTCCTTAACTTTAGTTATTTTTTGCTTGTCTGCAGTTCTACCTTTCATTTTTTGAGCTGTGTTTAACCCAGTTTCTTCACCTTTTTCTTTGCCCTTACTTTTAATGTGGGGATTTTCTGTAAGCATACTTTGATCGCTGACTGGCCTAGATCTCACACCTACAGATTTCTTAGCTTTGATTTGAAAAGGTGTGGTGACAGGTGAGGCTTCTTTCTTTGCTGGTGATGATTTAACATCCACGGCTGTACTTTGACCTTTTCCCGGTGAAGATTTAACCACGTGCCGATCTTTTGTTGGAGTCGATTTGATACGCTGCGCCTCCTGTTGCACGTCCGTTTTAAAAGGTTTGACGTCAGAACTTTCACTCTGGAAAACTGCATCTTCCTTTGCAGCATTTTCTATGGATATTGAAATGGTTGTTTCATTTCCTGTAGTAACCCTATCAATAGGAGATGTCTTGTCTGAAGCTAATGATGTCACTTTGTCTCTTTTTGGGGTCCTGTTTACATCTTTCCTTAAAGAGTTCACATCCTTTTGGTTTATATTACTTTCTTTAAAATTTCCATTTTTCCTGGTAGTTTCCTTCACTTCAGTCAGTTTTTGCTGTGCGTCAGTCAACGTCTTCCGGACCGACTGTTGTGTTTTTGGGCTATATTCTGAAAGTCTGCTCTTATCATGTTTTGGTGACTTAAACTTGGAGATCTTTTGTATGTCTTCTGGAGTTTTGACTGTAACAGATTCCTTGGTAATATTCTCTTTGCCTTTCGTTGTGATTTTCTGGTTTTTCTTTGTGCTCTTCGGTGTAGACGCGTCTTTCTCTGTGGGTAAGTCTTGAGGAGACTTTTGGCCTGTCTTCACATCGGAGTGGAACGCCTCCGCCTCTTTTGCAGCTCGTCTAAGAGCTCTGCCCTTTTTCTTTTCCTAGAATAAATCACATAAGGACATAGTAAGATGTAAAAAGAAAAAAAAAACTGGCACAAAAAGGTCAATGTCTGATGATACTGTGTTATAAAAAGAACAGTTGTACAAGCAGAGCAGACCTGCAATCAATGTAACTGCAAATGTAATTAGGGAGTGTGCTATAGTGCTTTAACCCTCTCTGACCTTCCTATCTAATTCGTCTAGATGTATAATTCAAAGCACATATATAATTTATTTCAAATGTTTAAAAACATATTTTTAATATAATTGCAAGCACACATTTGTATGTTACCGCACAGACAATAAAATGTTCATGTATATTTTTTATGTCATTATAATGTCCACACACACACATCTTAAAGCATACGGAAAATGACATATGAAGTATGTGTCAATTTTGATAGCAATACTAAGAATATCATAAGACATATGGCAAGGTGTAAAAAAAAAAACCCGTCATTAACAAATCTATTGTCGGTTATTACTGATGTACAGATGTAGGTGGAAGGTAAATAAAACCAATGTGATGATGGAGAAAAGATGAAGATTTTTCCTACTTTTCTGGAGGTAGACAGATGGCGGTTAATTGGGGGTCACTGACGTGTTATTTAATCACACAGCAGTCATTCTGGCATCAGGGTATTTATACTACAGGAGGGTCTTAGGTATATTATAACATCAGTTGGGTTGTTTGTATAATTAATACCACTATAGGGTCTCAGCATTAAATATGTTTGCTAGTCATGTATAGTAGTATTTTATGTTATTTTGCAAGGTTTAATCCCTGATATGTAAATTACTCGAGTAAAATCACACCATACATGACGCTGTAGGGTCTTGACCTCAATATTTGCACTTAGTATATTAATCTTTAAAACGCCAATCATACCTCCTTTTTTTTTTTTTTACAGGAGGGCACTTTGAAACAGCTGCTGTTGTCCTGAATGTGCTTTTTACATATTTAAATAAAAGTAAATCATATTACAAAAAAATTCCTTCAAAATTAATTTGGTTAAATAAAATCCAAAGGATGCAACACACTTGTTTAAATTTGTTTTCAAAATGTGTTCAATTTTATTTATTGTACTTTAGATATTGTAAATCACTTTGAAATTTGTTTTCAAAAGATAATATTAAAAGATATTCAAATAGAAGTTCAGTTACTCATTCGTTAGAACGTGCAGCAGGGATATTTTTTCACGAATCAAAAGCTTTTGTCTCTCAAGAGCTATTTAATGTATTATTTTCTGTCACACTTAAAGCCCACACGTGTACACACACATGATTGCATATGCAGATTCACATGCAGCACGACAGCTAGGACAGGAACAGGCTACTGAGCACCACATGTTGCAGTAACCCGTTGCACACAGCAACGTAGGAGACTCCTTTACTGCTTGCTTCATCACTGGCTGTGGAAACACTGATGAGATGTGGCAAGATTCCTGCCAACTTTTCCAGCGCATTGTGTGTATCTGTGTGTGTTTGTGCATCTGAGGCTAGCGCCCAAACACATTTGTGCAATGGCAGAAGCTATCCAAATATCTGCGTAGAGGAGACTCATTACAGACATTCTTGGAAAAAGAGAAATTAATGTAAAACAATGGGAGACCAAAACACCAATATCAACTTCATGATTCACTTCAGTGTTATACAAGTGGAAAATTTCTCCAGGCACACACGTGCTTGAATGAACACACACACACATACTGTATGTATGCTGAGGTATGCACATTTCCTGGAAAAGTCAGTGAGTGTTCAACATTGCTGCTTCCTGCCCTGGAGTGCATATAATCCAGACCAGTAAAATGAAGTCTAAAGAGGAAAATAACATTCAGCTGACTGTGTTTATGAGTCTGTGGATGATATATTGTGTTGATGTATGCTATCAAAATTGTATAATGAACCGTTAAATATCACTTTTCTCACCGTATTTGCCAAAAACTCAGAATCAACTTCTTTTTCTTCCACATCGTCAGTCGCTGTTTGTTGCTCTGGAAGAAAAGACAAAACTTTAACAGCTGTACAATGCATTATCTATCTCTACATCTTTACAGATCAGCTAAACACTGGCCACAACAGACATTCCACTCTCTCGTCAAAATTATGGGTTCAAAATACCTGTTTGTGGTGAGGCGGGGTGCTCTTCCTTGTGAGGATTTTTTTTGGAGACACGAGTGGGGGTTCTAGTCGGGCTGAAGGGCTCTTTAGGTGGTAAAGGAGAGGACAGTTTGTTACTTAAGGCCTTTTTTGCAGTTCCTGCTTGGTGTACCCTGTTTTTTGCAATCTTTTTAGTAGACACAGGGGCGTTGGGCTTAAATTTAGTTATAGACTTAGGTGACAATAAAGGAGAAGGCAACTTTTTGGATTTAGACTTAGGGGAAGAAGCGGTGGAGGCATTATTCTGAAATATAAATGATGATTGTGAACGTGGGCTAGATGGCTTAGAGGAAAACAGTGGACTCTGAGGGGATATAGGAGATCTGGGGGAGAGAAGTGGGCTTGCTGTTGCTTCTGATTGGGGCTTGGGGGATGATGAAGGGGAAAAGACGTCCTTTGAAAGCTGTTTCGGTGCTGGGATATTTCTGGATGCGTGCCAAGAAGTGTTGAGGAAGTCAGAATTCAGACGTGGGAGGTTCTGAAACATCTCCCCAAACAGCTCCCCAGAACTCCCCTGAAAGATAAGAGGAAAAAAAGCATAAGCATCACTGAGCCAAATATTTGAAATGCAGCAATAGAGCTCCCTCAACCTCTAACTTAGTGGCACTACAACAGAGCTGCAGTTTGGTGTAACACTGCTCCCTACTGGAGTTGAATAGTAATTACAATTATCTAAGGGAAAGCCAAGAAACTTTACAAAGATATCTGAAAGTTTTATTTCTGATTTTTTTCAAAGCATGTCGTGGTTGGTATTAAATTTAATTAAATAGTTTTGCAGCCAGAATATATCAATGTAGAAAACCAGCAGTGACTGAAAAAAAAAATTAGTTTAAAACATTGTTACAAGCAAGAGAAAATATTGTGTGTATTGTAAATTAATTTTCAAACTATTCAACATCTGTGGATACCCTGTTTTCTGTTGTCTGGGTACGCAGGATGATGTATACAGCTAATAATTCATGAAATTAATGACTATGTAATTACATAAGCCTTGTAACAACCTGGTTATGTTTGGAAAATTAAGACCAAGGTGTAGGTTCTCACTTTTTCTCTATGCCGGGCTCGAGCAGAGAGAGACAAGGATGGGACCAGTGGCTTCAGATCTATGATTACAGCGTCTTGCAAAAGAATTTCTTTATAGCTTGACTCCACAAAGTTGTCTGTGATCATGGCATCCTTCTCTGGCTCTATTTGTAGGCTCTCTGGTGGTCTGGGTGCAGCCAGGACCAGCATGTGATGACCACCACAGGACACCTAAACACAGGAGGACACAAGAAGACATCTTTATTTCTGTGTACTGATTTACTCTCATTCATTTTTTAAACCTGTATGATATAGTGATTTGTGAGTAGCCTGCATTTATATAGTAAATCTGGAGGTTTATTGTATTGAACAAAGGACACTATAAAGTCCCTACAGGTGGAGCTAGACAGTTATTTCTGCAGCCATCCCCAAACTAAACATAAGACCTTCATAATATCACACAGAATGCATACTGAATGTCACACGATCAAAAAATGACAGAAAACCAGGAAAATTCAAGAAAATTGTATCCTTAAATTAAAAATAAATGCCTAAATATCTATATCATGTTTTTGCCATTACTTCCCAGCTGTATTAAACAATAATTTTTAATTGTTCCAATGGGAATTAATATGATTAAATAGAAATTATTCTAACCTGGACCCAGAGAAGTGGCTGAAAATTGATAACTACACCAACAAATTACAAAATTACTGATTAGTTTAAATACGTTTTTGGTAGTAACTTGCCCATTGTGAGTCAATGATTTGTACTAGTGACTGTTTGCTACAGATGTGACACTGAGCACAGAAACCTCTCAAATAATCTACATGTCACACCAGCCATACTTGTTGTTTATGGTAGTAGTATAAAGTACAATTTCTGTTAACAGCTGATAACTACATACAAAAAAACATAATAACTAAACGTACTGTCTGTCTAAAATAAAAAATTCTTAAAGTTTAAGACTTTTCAACACATTTTCAGGCCTTTTTAACTGAAGCACGTCACTGCTTTTAAAGACTTTTCAAAGACCTTTAGACACCTGGCAAAAGATCACAACACCAAAACTGTGACTGACAGATGGCCTAAGTCCTCTGAGCCACTGCTGCCCCAACACCACCTTCACTTACTGACTGAACACTGTGCTGGAGAAAACGTGTGCATAGTGTCGGGCTGAACTGGTTGATGAAGTTCTCCTCCCCTAACCCCAGCTTTCCATGACGGCCATCACCGAACGTGTAGAGCAGCCCACTGTCTGTGGAAAAGGAGGACAAATGCATTAAAGGCTTAAGATGCTCCATCACAGCTGAAACTATGACAGACATTTTGCCTTTTTATAAATTGAGAAACACAAGCCACCAACTTCAGGCCAATACATATTTAAGCATTTTAAGGATACATATATTTATGCTTTTTTATTTCATTGTTCATGCTGCATTTTATTGCACATTGTTTGTTCCATTACAAAATAGAACCCTTTGAGTATTGAAATATTAAAGCAGAAATAAGGTCTTGGTGTGCTGTTGTGCTGAAATGATTAGTACATAATCATTACGACAACTGACAGGAAATTCATTGATCAAAATTATTGATTTTTGATGTTAAACGCAACATATCGAGAAGAAATGCCTGATTTATCAAAGAAAGGACACGCTATATTTTTAATCATTTGAAATCAAATATGGAAATCAAGGTTCTCAACTAAAACAAAACATTTACAGAGCCAATCTTTAAATCTGAGAATTTCTTTGAAAATCTGTACTACTTCCTTACATCTTACATTTAAATTAAACAATTAACTAATAAATCAAAAAGGGGTTTTCTTGACTGGCTAAGGAAGCAGGAAAGCAGACTACAGCAGTTGGATTTCCACCAGCCCCCTTCTGTTGCCTTATTTACATTTGATGTATACATATATATGGTATAGAAAACATGCACGAACCACTACAAAGGTGAACAGGCAATACAATTTTATTAACTATGACAATGACTAGAGTGAGCTTCAAAGATGGCTTACTTGTGATCACAGCGGTGTGGTTCTCTCCACAGGCGATGTGTTTGATGCTGCTGTTGCAAAAGTGCTCCAGTGGTTTTGGCAAATGAACTTCAAATAGAAATGTTCCGTGGCCCAGCTGACCGTGTTGACCCCTGCCAAACGTGTACACGTCCTCCCCTGGCACAGCAAAACAGACACAGTGAACAGACGACCACGTTAACCACAGGTAATAGCACACTTACTCAACTAATGTACATAAGCACAATTTTGTGGTACTTGTACTTCATTTGAGCATTTGGATTTTCCACTTCTCTATATTTGTATAATAATAGCAACAATAATTTGAGTATAGAAATGTATATCTATATTTGTGCTTAATATAGAAACATGAACTTATATTCTGACATTTTTTCTTGATTCCAAATCAGTGACCCCATATTCTATTATTCTGTTGTGCTCATTTCTATAAAAGTACATGGAACAACTTGATTTCTGTGGTTTGAAATAATCTTAATAGATTAAAAGACTTTTTCAACTTAATTTAGGAAAGAAACTCAAAATTATCACAAAGTAAAATAGTTAAAATCAACTCCATCTTCTTCAGCTAACATTAAATGCTGTGTACATGTTAATGCCTTTGCAATAAAAAATAAATAACAAGGGCTCACAGCAATATGAGTCCTTGTACTTTTGATATTTAATTTCACCATCCTGATAATGTAGAATGAAGAACTTTTTATGAGTATTTATTTTGTGATTTAATGGAGTATTTTCACATTAGCTGGATACTTTATTCATCTCCTTGGGGACATTCAAGATAATAAATAATGCAAAATTTAAAAAATAAATTAACATTATTTTGCAGGGACAATGTCTCTTTTTGGAACAAGGATTTTATGCTCATTTTTTTATCCTGCAAATGTACCTGTAAGTGCCACAGTGTGCTCCCCTCCACAGGACACCTGAGTGACCTGACCCAGGATGCCTTGCACCCGCTGAGGGACTCTGTGATTGGACAGCTGTTCCACCTGGAGGCCAAGTCTTCCATTCGCACTCTCACCGAATGTGTAGAGATCTCCATTTACTGGGACAGAGCCAAGACAATATTCACAGCACAATAGATAGCATGTACCTGAAGATTATTAAATTAACACTCAAGCTGGGTGAGTGTTTCTTGTGCTAGACTGTGTTGTACCTGTGACAAAGGCTGAGTGGTGGTACCCACAGGAGACCCATATCACCTCTTCTCCAACGATCACCTCTCTGGGTTCTGCTGCAAATCCCTCATCCCCTAAACCGATCTGACCCACAGAGTTGTCTCCCCACATGAAGAGCCTCCCATCGTCTGTGAAAACACACAAGCAGAGTTCAGAATATCTAACATCGTAGACATATAATATAAGCAATGTCAACCTTGACCAGGGAATCTTAGCTAGCAGGGAAACCTATTACATTTTCATCATTCAAACCTGTTAAGGCAGCTGAGGTGTTGCATCCTGCAGAAAGCATTTTGATTGGTGCCCAGTCACAGAAAGGATGCAGCAGCTGAAAGGATGCTGTGTTGTTGCAATGACCCAAACCGAGCTGCCCTGCCTGGTTACTACCAGCACCATAGACATCACCCCTACCTAAAAACACACAAAAGCTGATTAAATGCAAGAACAACCAGTTCTGGGAGTACTGTTCTGTGGAAATCTGTCATATACGATCCAGTGTTATTTATCTTCTTACATGTGCATACGATCGTGTGATCCCTCCCACATGCCGCAAGCTTCACCTTCTCAGACCTCAAGGCTAAAAAAGAAAATACAAAGGCATTATAGCTACTAAGAATTACTTCAAACTACTTAAATTAGGGCCTTTTTGGTTTATGAAAACAAAAAAGAAGAGTGGAAACAATGATGTAACTGATCAGTCAATAGGTAGAACAATAATCAAAACCATAAAGAATAAGTCCAAAAAAATAACTGACATTTTATTCAGTCATCATGAATAAGTAGGTGTAGCCTTAGTGTAAAGCATCTTACCTTTCACAGAGGCAGGTTTGCTGGCAGCCAGTTTAAATCTCAGTCCCAGTTGGCCCCAAGTATTACCACCAAACATGAGCAGCCTCCCATTTTCTGCAGAATCATTACACAGTTGTAAGTTTGACCTTTTATTTAAAATTGCACTTCATCGCTTCATGAACAAAGTAGGAATTCTTTATTTATTTAAAAGCATGCATGTAGTGTGTGTACCTGTGATGACTGCGGAGTGCTCTCCTCCACAGGACACGTGCACTGAGCGGTCATTCTTCAACCAGAACTTGCTTGGCACATTATCGGCAAAACTGCTCTTTCCAAATGTGAAGATGGCTCCTGTATCTGATGACAAGTATGTGGTTGATCTTTCCACTGCCTTAATAAGAACCAACTACAACATACAGGGCACTAACTTAATGCACTTCACTAACTTAACACCGGCTAAATCCCAACCCTGCCGGCTGTCAGACCTCAAGCCATTTACGCAGGCTGACAGAAATAGCAACAGGTTTACCGCACACATAAGTGGAAACGGTTATCAGAAGAAAAGGCACGTAAGTATAGGTAAGGATTCATAAGGCTATGGGCTTTATGCTGCGTATTGATATAGGATGTAGTCTCACCAGGTATGTCCACATCGGTCTGCCCCGTCATCTCCACCGTTGTTCCGCTCACACCTCCTCCTCAGCGGGCAGCTCCGCGCTGACTGACAGGTCGAGCCAGTAAAGCGCAGAGAGAGGCAGCAGGAGGCTAAGCTAAGCTAACTAGCTGCACCAGTGCGACCCAAGGAGTTAGCTAGTTATCGACAGGTAACAAATACATAAAATATTATATATTTAAACAATATTTGGAGAGGTGAGCAGCATATTGATAGCCTAATTACTTTGGACTGTCAAAACACACTAAATAAAAACATATTAATGAAAGTATAGTTTTAAACTCTTTATCGTAAATGAGCTGGTAAGTTCACCTGCTGCCTAATTAACTAATTAACTCAACTTGGAAACAATCTTTGTTTGAACTCATCAAATCAAGTTTATCTAGTTGATATGACTCCAATCTTCTAGTTGTCTCAACATTGTTTTTTAAGTTGTCTAAAGTTGATTTAACTTTGTACCTAAGATAAAACAAAAACTAACCTTATCAGTGCAAGAAAACCTTATTTGTCTAGTCAAACAAACTCACACTTTCATATTATTATAGCCCACACTTTCAAGTTCTATATTTACAAAACTTGCCATTTCAAGTTAAAAGAACTTACATTTTAAATGTTTCATCTTCGCTGTGTCGGTTGTATTGACTGATTATTGCAAGTTTTCCTGATTTATTGATCACAATAGTTGCAGCACATTTATTCAGAGATCCTTTATTTAAAAAGAAAAAAACAATGTTATACATGAACTTCAATTTCAAAGATGTATTCACAACACAGATGATAAATATAACATCATCGGCTTAACAAGAACATTGTTACACATGCATACCTCAAGGCACTGACTGTTTACATATTGGTGTCACAGTTTTCAAACAGGATAATAAAATCTATATACCTAATATGAAGAACAAGGTGCATCGTAAAACATTCACCAAACACTGTCAAAACTGTAATTCACAATAGGACGGTTGAAGGACAAATAAGGGATACAGACAGCTTTTATAAACCATACAATAAACTTCTGTGACCGGAACATACTTGTTGCCAAGCACATCCATTTCTGGCTTTAACATTTTTTTGGGGGGGGAGGTGAAAACGGTTATATTTCAGTCAGAAAATCTATTTATTGCACATATTATAGATGGGAAAAAAAATCATTTAATTAATTTCGGAAAGCAGTGCTAATGATAATTAGGGGGCGGCAGCGTTGGAGGAAGCCACGCCCCCTCCCTGCTGTCTGTGCGCCACGCCGCCGGTTCGCTTGGATTCCTGCACGCATGTGTTTCGCTGGCAGGCAGTGAGTGAAAGCTGCTTCTCACTGATGAAACAGTCACACAGCATTACACTCTCAGCGGATTTTCTTTGAGCTACAATGTTTCCCAGGCTATTTTCTGTCAGCAATCCTGCTTTCAAATGTTTGCAATCTTTCCACAACTATGCGGCACGAGGGTTTGGGTAAGAAAATCCAGATTTCAACTTTATTAAATAATATTTGACAGCTTTAGAATTAAACATGCCTCCGTTTGTTACTTTCCCAGCACTGCTTCTCTTGGTTCAGCAAATTTAAAAGGTCGCAGTTGTCTGACATTGAAAGATTTCAACTCAGATGAGATCAAGAGGCTGCTGTGGGTGTCAGGAGACCTCAAGCATCGCATAAAGCATGAAAAACAGGTGAATAACTTTAGATAACAAATGCTGATTCCACTGTCCATTTTGTTAAGTGTCTTCTTGTTAGGTCTGAGGCCCTGTTTGGGTCATTTTACGCAGCTAACTGTTCTTTCTATTTCAGTATCTGCCTCTTCTGCAAGGGAAGTCAATTGCTATGATATTTGAGAAGAGGAGCACCAGAACAAGAATGTCCACAGAAACAGGTGTCAGTTTTGTGCACAAGAATCTGCATGTGGCTCAGTTTGTTAGACAGAACAATAAAGGGTAAAAACTAGAAATAGAAAAGTTAGTTTTTAAGTTAAAAGTTTGCACACATGAGCTGCACAGATGCTTTCTTTATTTAATTCCTAAGAACATCAATAAAAAACGTGTCCTTGCTGTGCTCGCTGGGCTGATACCATTCATCACGGTCATTGTTAATACAGACACAAAAGAACTGCTGAAAAGCCACTTTCCGTGCAAGCCTTTAACAAAACACTCTGAACAGCTACTTCCACCCCTATATTTCCCCTCATACTCCCCCCTCAGCACCTATATTTTTCTGTGTGCTTTTTTACTAGTTGGATTTTAGGGAAACTAAAGTCATGTTGCTATCATAATCCCAGGTTTTGCTTTGCTGGGTGGACACCCCTGCTTCCTTACCTCGCAGGACATCCACCTGGGAGTGAATGAAAGTTGCACAGATACAGCTAGGTGAGAAATAATGTTTGTTTCTTTAGGATGTCTATTATACACGAATCCTCTTATTTCTCTGTTTATCCAATCAAGCTTGAGTACACTGTATTTTTCAGCATAACTCTCCTTTACACGTCATACCAAACAGTGTTTTAGGTCAACAACAGTCTCCAGCATGAGTAACCACAGACTCCCTGGCTGCATATGACCTCTTAACTTTCACCACAGGGTGCTGTCAGGGCTCTGTGATATTGTCTTGGCCAGAGTGTACAGCCACACGACGCTGGAGGAGCTGCAAAAGGAGGCTTCCATCCCCATCATCAACGGCCTGTCTGACCTCTATCACCCCATCCAGATTCTGGCTGACTTCCTCACCTTACAAGTGCTCTTACCGTTAATTGTACTACAATTTTCCTCCAGCGTATGATAATGATGGTGCGTGTTCTAAGTTACTGCCATTCACTTCTAGGAGCATTATGGATCTCTGAGTGGACTGACAGTGAGCTGGATTGGAGATGGGAACAATGTCCTCCACTCCATCATGATGACTGCAGCCAAACTGGGAGTTCATCTTAAGATTGCCACACCAAAGGTTTATGTTGCCTCCTCTCTTTTACCCTGCTAAATGTTCTGTTAGTGAATTCTTGTTTTGCAGTTTGCAGATACCAATGCAAGCTTTAGCTTCTCATCTCTGCACTTCTTGTGACACTAGAATATAACTGTGTTTTTATTCCCAGGGGTACGAGCCAGAAAAGAGTGTTATTCAAGAGGCACAAAAACTCTCCAAACAGGTAAGATCCTCTAGATTCTGTTTGGCTTATTAATAATAAATAACACTGCATTCTGTCTTAGCATGGGACCCAGCTCCTTCTGACCTCTGACCCGATGGAGGCTGCACATGGCAGCAACGTTTTGGTCACTGACACCTGGGTCAGCATGGGACAGGAAGAGGAGAAGAAGAAGAGGCTTAAGGACTTCAAAGGTTACCAGATTACTATGCAGGTAAGGAGGGATATTATTTTAGCATTATTTTTGCCTGTGTCTATAACCAGTTTTAAGCTTACAAATCAGGCCCCAGTAGCTGCTGCTTTCCCCCCACACACTATAGCCCTTTTTTAAACATTGCATACATAAAATTGCTGGCTTCATCATTCTGGTAAAGTGATGGCATTCTGACATGGATCACTTTTACATTAATTTTCCTCACGTTTCATTCAGACATCCGAACCACTGTGACACAGAATCATGGTACCCACACAACATTTGCCATAACATCAAGATTACAACAAGTGACGCGTAAAACATGAAAGTCATGTTGCCCAGTATATGTAGCATGGTATGATGTCAGTACGTTGTATTCCTGTGTGTTCATCACTTAATGCAACTGCATGCAATTCAGACTCGTGCGTGTTAAAAGTAAATGTCCGACCCAGTATGACTGCTGTTACAATTTTAGCCTACTCATAACCAGGTTTTCATTCAAACGTGAAACTGAATTGTTCAGCTGCTGCATCAGTGCATGTCTAAAAGAGGCTTCTGATTATAAGCTAATCAGTACTGCGCAAAACAGCATCTCTAAACAAAGCAGTAGCATTTAATCTTCTGCAAACTTTTATATGACTTGCAAAATAAACTTAATTCTTAAGGGGAGATTTTATGAAATGCTTTGCACACTAATAGATTAAATGCACATAAAGGGACATGGTAGTATTATCAAGAAACCTGCAGAAAGATGGTTTTTGCTTTTAAAAGTACTGTATACCCAATGTACAAAAGGGGCTGCTCGTGTCCGTATGATGTCAATTTTGTCATCTCTCCAAGTCTGTGACAGTCTGTGTGAACCCTCAGTACATGGCGCTACAAAGGCAATAGCATGCATGCTCAGCAGTAGTATGCATGCATAGAATGTGTAGAAATGACCCACAGCACATGTATGCAACAGACTCTTCCAAGCAGACTCCAGTGGACGAGAAAAGTAGTAGAATAGCAGCAACTGCACGTCCCTGGGTGTCGGCAGCTGTCCATGTCCATAATTTAGTATAATCAAGGCACAAGTGTGGCTCTATCCATGGGCCAAAAAGCAAACTTTTTTTTTTTCTTCTTGTATTATGCCTCTCAGAGTGTCCTCACACTTTGTTGAAACTGGTTTTAACTCCATGTTTTGGTTGCTCGTCCATCACAGACTGGAAGTGTGGCCAAACCAGACTGGACCTTCCTGCACTGTCTCCCTCGAAAAATGGAGGAGGTGGATGATCAGGTATTCTACTCATCTCGCTCCCTTGTCTTCCCCGAGGCTGAGAATAGGAAATGGACCATCATGGTGGGTAATCTGCTGAAACTCCAGTGTTTAATTTGAAATTTACCATTAGTACAAGTTTAAGTTAATCCTGCTGGAATAGCATTTGCCTCCAGCTCTGCTAATTGTTGGACATGTCTTCTCTTTCAGGGTCTGATGGTTTCACTTCTGACAGACTACGCTCCGCAGACACAAATGCCAAAGTTTTAACTTCGGGTCTTAAAGTGGAATTATATTTGTGTGTCACGCTTCATGACAATCCCACTGCACGTACCTCTGCTGCAGCAACTGATTTCTAGTTTTCACCCAGTCATAAGCACCACAGCAAAAAAACTACATGAATTATCCCAAAGAAACTGTGTTTACATTGTTTAATTGAATGTGTGTGTGCGTTACTGTGTCTTCAGCTTTTTCCAAATAAATCAGAAACTTGCAGGACAAAATACAATCAGACCAAGCTGACCAATCGCTGTTCTTCTGGCCTCCAGATGGTATCTGTGTGGACATGTTAGCTGATGCGTGTACATTTTTGAGAAGGTTCACATCAGTTGTTCTGCTTTAACACCTTCATGCGCAATTACCAAATGCTTTGTTCATACCACACTGCTAAACTGATACACCACTGGTTTTCCACAATAACGCTACAAATCACACATATTGCACTTTGCATTCATGCAGAATATCTTCCATATTGTAATGTGCAGTTCACATTTGAATCAATACAGTAAGAAAATCAACTTTGTCTTATAATCCACATCAGCAGTATGCATCACGTTAAATCTGTAGTTAGGACACAGTGGTGTGCCAGGGGTATCCTTGGGGTCTTGTCCAACCCACCCATGTTTCTGGCCTCTTTCTAATAAAGGCAAACAAAAAGGGTCTTAACATTGCATGGCTTGTCATTTTTAGTAAGACTGATTTCATGGACGGGACTGCATTTCTTTGCAGTGTTGAAAAACTTTAATGGTTGACGATAATGGAAAGTGTTCACATGAATACTACGGTGGCCGACGGGGGCAAATGACGTACATATACATGAATGCGTTGCATAAACAGAAATGCACTGCAAAAAGAAAACGCTGCATACAGGCACACAATGGAAGTGCCACAGGCCTCTAGGGTGTTTGGCTTTTCAGTCACTGTGATTATATGGGTGCTGAAGTGGTGTTTTACTGCTGTCTCCCTGTGTTCTCTCTGTTGTTTATGTTTACCCATGGAGACAAGAGAATACATACCTTTTCATACAGCTTTTCCCTCAACTAATGTTACTTGTCTTGCTCACAGTTATCTGCCTCTCAGGTGAAAAGCTCATTACTGCCTCTAGAGGCCTGATGCACTTCCTGGATATGCAGCATTTTCTTTTTGCAGGGCACCACCACACCACTTCAGCACCCATATAATCACAGTGACTGAAATGCCAAACACCCTAGAGGCCTGTGGCACTTCCGTTGTGTGCCTGTATGCAGCGTTTTCTTTTTGCAGTGCATTTCTGTTTATGCAACGCATTTATGTAGTTGCAACTCCTTTGTGTATATACACGTCATTTGCCCCCGTCGGCCACCGTAGAATACCCCTACCACATGGTTAAATGTCTTCATGTCATCTTTGGCTCAGAGTAACTGTAAGCATTGTGCATCTGAGATTAAAAATAAGAATATTATTATCAAGTGACAGAATTGGTTACAAATATATTTGTTGTATTCCTTTATTTATTTATTTTTTTTAAGTCGCTTTTAATTTATTTTGTGGCACTTCTGGTCTTCCCTACATTCCCGTCAAAGTGCGCCACCACACGGACGGAGTCTGTAACGTCCGCGACTTCTCATTGGACAGCGGGGGATGACGCGTTTGTGCGGGAAGCTTTGATCCACGTGGGTGGTCCAGCCGGATAAAACGATGCTGCGTAGTGGCCCATTCACAAAGCAGCCAGCCTGTCATTAAAGAAGTACTCATGCAGACGTTCACATGGGTTTGTAAACACGGCTACAAATGTGCAACACTACAAGTTACACCCGGAGCTCAGTAAAACGTACCTTTAAACTAGTTTACACCTACACATACAGCGTCGTGATGGTTTGATTACATTGCAATGTTAGAATTAGCTCCACGCACTATAACGTTAAATGCTTAAATGGCGATATGAAAACAGTTTTCCTCGACGACCACCCACACAGTGAAGGAGGGCTGCCCGGAGAGGCTGAGGTGGGAGGAGGAGGAGGAGGAGGACGCCATTGCAGCCGCAGCTGGCCGTTTGAGATTCGGCTGATGAGGGACAAACGTTCCCAAACTTTAACAATGTCGACTGGCTTTCAGGGGGGGTTCTGACTCGGTTCTCTTCTGGCGTGGAAACACGAAAAGTAAGATGGAGGTTTTGTCGCCGCCGAAGGGGGTAATGTGGAGCCACAGCGCCGAGCCAAAGCAGGTAAAGAGCTCAGTTTCAGGGGGGACAATGGGGGAAAGTTTGAGCTAAACTTGGCTAACTAACGGTAGTTGTTTTAGCTAACCGTTAGCGTCGCTGCTAACGAGCTGGAGGTGCTGCTGGTCACAGAGCTGCTAACTGCTCACTGAATATACCAGTATTTAGCTGAACAGAAAGATAAAAGTCGTGCTGTATAGTTAACCTTTGCTGCCAATCTTCCCGCTTTCGAGAGTTAACATTTACTAAATGAAGAAATTGACAACATTAAGGTGACAAAAATGTGAACAAACGACGGTTTTCACCACTTTATAGCCGAACACTGAGGATTTTAGCTCCTGGTGCGTTTGCTGAGTTCAGTGTAAACAAAGTTGTCCAGTTTCCAGACCCTTTACTCGACTAAAAGTTACAATAAATAATGTAAAACTACAGATTTCAAGTATTTGAAAGTCCTGCATGCAAACATCATACCAAGTAAAGTACTGAGGTTTATATTATCTATCAGCTTTTTAGGTTATTATCGCTTGTACAATAACAGGCATTTATTGTTGTAGCTGGTTAAGTAAATGGTGTTTGGAGGTTTAATTTATACAAATGCTTCATGTTATGTAAAGCAAACATATGTTTTGTGTGTCAAATAATAATCTGCAAAATAACTTGTAAGTGCATCAGTCAGAAAAAACTTATTTAGTATCCCTGTGCATCATGTAAACATTTAATAAATGCTTTATACCACACTACTGTATGGCTAATAGTTAAACTGATAACAATTAATTAGTCATGGATTTTTTTTAATGAACGTGTTTTAACAAATAGTGAATAACAATATTCTTTTTTTTTTTTTTTTTTAAACTGTTGGAACAATATTAAAGTTTACTTAGTAGAAGTTATGATTGTTGGGAAAACTGTGGATTATTAAATGTGTATAAGTGTCCATACATCTGCTTATAGCTACATTATCATGTAGTCATTTTATGCCATTTGTTAAATGTTTACACACTGCTTTATGAATGCTTAATAGAGGTCTTTCCTTTTTAAATTACACAAATTTAACATTTTACAATTTAAGAAACTTCCATTACCTAATCTGCACTTCTATTTCCTAGATAGCATGACTTAAATTAATCAGATATTACCAGACTGACTGATTTCATTCAGGCGGCTTGTTTTTATGATTTTATTTCATTTGACTTAAACTTTTAGATCAATAAAATGTACTGAATTTGAATTGAATTTGGTGTCTGAAGTTGTGAACGCTGAAGTTGCACAACTTGGGAATTTCAAAGAGATGAATTCAGATGTCATAAGTGAAACAATTTTATTGCAATGAATTCAGTTGTTTTGTTTGCCTTTGAGATTAAAACCCGTACAGCCTGTTTTTGCTTCCATGGTTGTTTACTTGCTGTCAAAAAGATAAAATTTACTCAAAAAGTCCTTGAACAGTGAGTGATTTTAGAAATGCTTCTTTGTGAGGTTCTGGTACATCCATTTTGTTTCTAACCACAACCTCCTCCTCAGCAGTCTCCTACCATTGCTTCACCTGTGCGGTGGCCCAATCTCTCACCATGAACACCAGTAGGAACTGCACCGCGGTGGGGAATGGCGAGGGTCTCGCTGCCCTGGAGTCAGTCTCCATCGTGACCATCACGCTCCTCGCCTGCTTGGGGAACCTGTTGATCGTGGCAACCCTTTATCGCAGGCCTTATCTGCTCACACCCAGCAACAAGTTTGTGTTCAGCCTGACCCTGTCCAACCTGCTGCTGTCCGTGCTGGTGCTGCCGTTTGTGGCCGTGAGCTCGGCAAAGAGAGAGTGGGTGTTTGGCGTGGTGTGGTGCAACTTCACCGCTCTGCTCTACCTGCTCATCAGCTCTGCCAGCATGCTCACCCTCGGAGCGATTGCTATTGACAGGTTAGTGCCAGATCATTATTATTATAGTCATTTACAACTTGACAAAAATTTAAAACCTTTTTTTTGTTTGGCAACATTAACAAATTATCACCATATAAAGTTATGCCAGAGTTTGCAATCAATAACCATTAGCATTATTTGAAGCCATGTTTCTTTCCAGTCGATGAAAGTCTCATATTAACTCTCATTTTAGCTCCATTTTGGTGTGTACCAGCTCTCGAGAAAAATATGTGGCTCTTTAGCTGCCAAATCACCACTTTGTTTACCAGCTTGTCTCTCTTACCTCTGTTTGCAGTTTGGTGCTGGGCAGGTAGTGTATTGTTGATTCACTGTCTGCAGCTGGGCTCAAACAAAGTGGAGTTACGAGCTGTAAAACAGAACAATAAGCTGAGAGATGCAAAAACTCTCTGTTAAAGTGAAGGAAAGTGCAGAGCGGTAACTTTCTGTTGGTTTATCACTTTGAGTGGCACCTTTCATATTACATATAGCCATTTGATCCATTGTTAATACTGAAATATAGATTGATGCAGCATTATATTCAAACTTCACATCTACTTTTAGGTAAATAAAGCAGTGGCCTGACGAATAACAGAGACGGGCTTGTTACCAGAATTTGCTCACGTGCCCTTGAGAATGGCAGCTCATTGGCCAGTGGTTGTATTATACAGCTTCCACATGTGAGTGAGCGCGAGACAGATCGTTGCAGAGGATGAACGTTTGACCCTCTAAATTCAGCACCTTGAGATGTAATCAGTCACGAGCCATGAAAAGTGCTGTTTTCCACAGTGACACCACTGTTATCGCAAATGTTGCCCAGTGCTTGCTGTCTGTAGAGCAGTTTGAGAATTTCTGTCTGCAAAGAAGTATCAAGATCAAGAGTGATAGCTTCATGCATCGTTCTTTTTTTTGGCTGTTGCCTTGACAAAGTGGAGGAGGTGGTTATTTTTTTTAGCTGCACATGTGAGGTGAAATTTTAATCATTCTGTGAGGGATAAGATCTGCATAATAAATGAGTCTCAACAAAAGATGAAGCTTTGATGTAGCCAGGGAGAAATTTACATTTAATTACAGTCAAATGTCCACTGTTTACTAAGGCAGCAATTATACAGTGACTTCAGTTTGAATTAGGTTTATTTTTGGAACTCTTAATCTGGACATCTTAGATAATCAGGCGCCTGAATATACAATCAGCCTCAGTGTAAATGTAAAAAAAACCCAGCACAGTTGTCTTTATTTTTTATTGAGTGTGTCGTACCTCATTCTTATGTTTAACCAAATACAAGATTTGACATTTAACAAACAAGGTCATGTTCACTAATGTCATTTTTGGTGTGTTTCCCCATAAGGTCAGAATGTAACCTTTTAAATGAGACTGGTTAACCACATACTTAGACCGTGGTATTTTTCTGGAGATTTTCCCGGCTCAAGTGACGAGCATTAAACAGGCTTACACACAAAGTACGTCTAAATGCCTGCCAACGTGAATGCACTATTCATCTGCAGAGCTCAGATTATTTTACTTCATTTCTATTTTTAGAAAAGAATAATCGACAAACACAAAACATCCTGCACACATAAAGCTTATGGGCATACTACACCCCGTTTTTCTTTTTTAGTCACAGATTTTTAAAAGAAATCCAATTCTTTCCTGGCACCAAGCAAAAATATCTTGAGCACAAAAAAGTTTTACTTGTTCTTTGATCAGATTTTTTCTGACTCAAAGAAGAATTTTGCAATTTTTAGATTATCGCATGTTGCCAGTATTTCTGTATGTCTGCTTGTTAAGATGAAATTAAATAGTGGCTTGGTCGGGAAGTTTAACTATTGTGGTTTAAAAAGGAGGAAATTGTTGCATTCTTTAACATAGTGTCAAAAAATCTAACACTGGTATCACTTTGTCAATGAAATCATAAAATTGGGAGCAGTATCCATCCTTATTAATTGTTTTCAAACATTCCTGTATGTCTGGATTTTCTAGTTTTCTTTTTTTATGTAATTGCAAATTATACGTTTGACTTTGGATTGTTTGTTTAGGAAAAAGGCAATTAAAAACTTGTTTTCTGAAATGTTAAAAATCAAAGGATTAATCTGTTATGGAGAAAAATAATCTACAGTTTAATCAATTTTAAAGGTAACAGTTAAGTTGCAGCGCTTATTATTGCACTTCACATTTGCTGGAATTACCATTTAAAGTCCGGTGAGTTATGTTATTCCTGTTCAGTAAAACCTACTGTAATTTCTCTGTAGCATACAGTCCTCGCTGTTCTCACTGTCAGCCTAATTACTCTCAGCACCTTTGGGGATTTTTGATTACAGTGCATGTTTTTGTTCCCCTGCCAAGCCTCTCTTTTCTGTTCTGTTTGCAGCTTTTAGGAAAACACATTACAGCGTTGTTTGGGGGGGTAAAGTGCAGCCTTTAGCTTCTGTATCACTCACTCCAATCTGAGCAGCCTCTGTGTTACTTGGATCCGAAACCTCCCTCGAGAACAGTGTTCAGTTCTCGTTCAGTAGATTGTTTTTTTTTTACTGTGTTCTTCTCTCATCTCTACAGGTACTACGCTGTGCTCTACCCGATGATCTACCCCATGAAGATTACAGGGAACCGGGCGGTCGTTGTCATCGCCTACGTCTGGTTACACTCTCTGGTGGGATGTCTGCCTCCTCTGTTCGGCTGGTCCTCCTTCGAGTTTGACTGCTTCAAGTGGACGTGTGTTGCGTCTTGGCACAGAGAGCCAAGCTACACGGCCTTCTGGGTCGCCTGGTGCATCCTTCCCCCCTTCCTTATCATGCTGGCCTGTTACGGTGTCATTTTCCGTGTTGCCCGCATGAAAGCCCGTAAAGTACACTGTGGGACGGTCATTGTGGCTCAGGACGACTCCACGGGCGCTCAGAGAAACGGGCGTAAGAACTCAAGCACCTCAACTTCCTCTAATGGTAGCCGGCGGAGCCTTGTGTACGCAGGTAGCCAGTGTAAGGCCTTCGTCACCATCTTAGTGGTGATCGGCACCTTCCTCATGACCTGGGGGCCATATGTCGGGGTGGTGTGCACTGAGGCTCTGTGGGGGCAGGGCAGTGTGTCTCAGGGGCTGGAGACTCTGGTGGCGTGGCTGTCTTTCTGCAGCGCCGTGTGCCACCCGCTCATCTACGGCCTGTGGAATAAAACAGTGAGGAAGGAGCTGCTGGGGATGTGCTTTGGAGATCGCTACTACAGAGAGTCGTTCGCCACGCGGCAAAGAACATCCCGCCTCTTCAGCATCTCCAACAGAATCACAGGTGGGATGACAGCTGTGATTGTCTTTGTCATGAAGTTCGGTTCAGGGGAAGGTCATTTTGTGTTTGGGTTGCTCACCTGTTTATGTTAGGACGCCAAATCGTAGACCAAAACTGAACATAAAACTCTCAAGAGTACAATGAGTATGTTTGCTTCAACATAGGTAGTTCAGCTATGATCAGGTTTTCAAATTATCGATTTTTGTTCTTGTGCAAGTAATTATTACATCCTGATTTCAGAAACCTGGAAACCTTTAACTGGGTTTTAAAAACACTTGATTATGCCACAGCTAAGTGTTATGACAGAAACATAAACAGTGGCAGCAGAAGCGTCTCATTTTTGGTAATGAAAGAGTTTAATATGCTTGGTCACTGAGATGGTAGATGTCATCAAAATGCTGACCTATTTAAGTCTGCAGCAGACGGGTAACAGGACCATCATGTACAGTGGAACATGTCAGGTCAATAGCCACAGTTACATTGATTGAAGGTGAAAGGCTACAAGGACATCAGATTAATAATTCCAGAGTTTCCAGTTTTTGTTTACCATTACAGGTATCATTAACCAGGATACTGGTGTTTCTCATGTAAACATCTTCTCCTCAGTATGAACAAAACCAGGATGAGCCGTATGTTCATGTAGAAACACTCACTGTCAACATGCAGGTTAAACTGTTACAGGTTGGTTGGGTACTAGTGCAAAGTGTGCTGTATTGTAGTCGCATCAGAACTTGTTTGTGTTTTTTTTTTTAGACTTGGGTATGTCTCCACACCTGACCGCCATGTTGGCTGGTGGAGGACATCTGTTGGCCCCAGGGAGCAGCACAGGAGATACTGGCTTCAGTTTCACTCAGGACTCATGTAAGTGTTAAACACACTAAGAAAAATAAATAGGTGTGTGTGGGTGGATGGATGAATGGATGAATGAATGACCCTGTCAAAGATCAGATGTAAAACTAATCATTGTTTTTATTGGGTTTTCCACAAGAGACATCCTGAATGCCAGATTTTATTCATGCATTTCAATTGTCTGTCTATTTTTTAAAACTGGACTGTTGCTCTCAACCTGAAAACAAAAAGCACATGAGGTTTAAAAGGTTGATGGTCTTACTAACCCTCTTGCGTCATACCCCCACAGCTTAGTTACAGTCAGCCTCACATTCCTTTTTCACAGCTCATGTTTTCAGCTGAAGATGTGGCAAGTAACGTCATGTTAAACACACAGAGATGCCTCATTATTGAGCTTATTTGTGTACTTTTCTGGCTGTATGTTACCAAGATGACTTTTCCTTTAATTTAAGTTCTCAGTAAAGTGTGTGCTTGCAATTAGCCTTGTTTTGTTTTTTTTTCCCCACATAGGTACAGATGTGATGCTGCTGGATAACTTCTCCACAGACTGCTCCTCCCTCCTACAGCACCACGGGAATCCGTCCGGGAAGAGGAGGAGCTCGGTCACCTTTGAAGACCAGGTGGAGCATTCCAAAGGTATCTGTCGTTTATTTCCCGGCTCCACAGGAGATCAGAGAGGGAAGCCACTTCACACACACTGAGGGTTTTGAAAATTAGTTTGTCAGTCAGCAAATGACAAAACAAAACACCACAACAAGCACAAGATTTGTTTGCTGTAGCATTTGTATTCAAGTCCTCACCAACAACTCAGCGTATACATTTGTCTCCTCAGCTGAAAACACATCCTCAGTCCAAGTCCACGCAGAGGTACACAAATCCCTCGACACATTTGCCTCCTGCCTGGCGAAGGCCATAGAGAACGACGCTAAGCTCACCTTGTTTGGGGAGGGTCTGGCTCTGCCTGGTGGACTCTTCACGACGAGGGCAGCGCCGAGACCCAGATACCTAGACGGTCAGAGACTGAGGCTGGAGAGCATAGATGAAGGGATTGTCAAAGACGACAGAGATGAAGAAGAGCAGGACATGGAGGAGAAACCCGCCTGAACACAGCAGGTCCAGTTATCAACTATTCTCAGTTTATGAGCGTCTCACACCCTTCACACTATTACATGTGAGTTGTCAGAGCTCTGTGGTACAGCTGATGAAGTCTGTGTACGTGGTACTTGAAATTATTAGCAAACAGAACGAGGCACATTATTCATTCCACTATGTTGGACCAAGCATCAGTGTCTTGGCAAGCTTTTATAAGGATTAATGTAATCAAATAGGAAGCCTTAACTACTGTAACCTAAATGGTCTGATTGTTATATTAATTTTTTTTACTACTATATATTATTATATGTTCTCAGAAGTAACAAGAACACATGCCTCATTAGGACGCATGGAAGAAAATTACAGTAGTTTCTGACTCTGACAGCACTGTGATCTGCTTCCTTTAAAACTGCTTCTTTATTACATTAAGAAAAGTACGTTTCCAGCCGGATTAGCTCTACTGAAGACGCAGTTTGTTCTCAAAGCACTGCGCCCAGCAGCCATTCTCCACACACACAGATGTTTTCACTTACTGTGTCTAATTAGATGGTTTTCTGAGCTGTGTGGGCATCTGCAGCTCCCTCACTCTGGTAGCTTGTTTGCACCAGTCAGTGCGTGACAACATGCACGTTTATCAGTCTTACTGTTAACCTCCAATAATTCACCTCACCTTCAACCTGACGCCACGTTCACATCACACGGGATGGATGGGAAAGATTCCCATGTTTGCAACTTGTCTGAGTTCTCATACGCAGACTCAAAATCAGGAAAGCTTTAATTATCCTCGCTGTGAAATTGTTTTAAAACTCAAATATGTGGAAGTTGTAAAATTATACAAGAATGCAAGAAAGCACCGGGGTGCAGAGTCTGGAGTGTTGCGGTAACCAAGTGGAGGCTGTGACACGCTGCTGCAGAAGTAGGGATGTAATCAACAACCAAGATGGCATGTGAGAACTCCCTGAGTGTAGCGTGGACGCAGCAAACAGTTCAATATGCCACTGGGTTACTAAAGTGAGGGTTAAAAATACTCTCCACTAACAATACAACACCATAGCTAGTCTGGTGGAGGTAAATACCTTCACTGATTCATTTAAGATATTTCTTATTCATATTTATGACTTGGACATTAATTGAACACTAATTTCAATACCTGCAGTCTAATCAACCAGAATAAGTGCAAACACCTGTGCAGATGTGCAGGACCTTTAATTTAATTAAGAAAAAGGCATTTTAAAGGGAGCAGAGAACAGTGCTGCAAATCTTTTTGAGAACATGAAATTACGCTTTTTTTGGACACAGCAGTTAGACAAGAAAGATTTGTGTTTGTTTTCATACAGTCTTTTGACACTGACTGTAGATCACTACTTGTTTCCTTGAGGTAAACACACCACATAACACAGCATGCTAACGACAGGGCAAATACTCTGAATTTCAGAAATTCTTCTAGAACTGTGACTGAGGAAAACACTTTATACTGAAGACATTTGTGTCCCAGCAGGAAAATAGGTGTAAACTACTATTCATGGCTGAGTTCCGTTTAACTGCCTCATTCACATGGTCTTAATGTTATTAATGCAACACTAGTCATGTTTCAGTATAACTGCCAAGCGAATAGGGAGCTGGCTTTTGAAATTTTGGGGTAAAAAGGCGTGTTTTCATCAACTGGTTTGGAGCGAATAAACTTAGATATGTCATAAGAAGGTGGCGGCACAGACTCTGATATGCATAATAAACAGTAGAAGCAGAAGTTACAAACAGGAAACAAAAGCAGCTGTTTGCCAACCACCAAAAAAAAAACAAAAACAAAGAAGGAAGACACAAAACTGATTGTCTTAGCCATCTATAAGAGAAAAATGGAGAGATCATTAAAACAGCTGATGAGTCATGTGAATTAGATGGAAAACAGGTCCATAACCCATTAAGCACAATAACTCTTTCAAAAAAGGTAAAACCAACTTAAGCAAGAAAAATTTAGGAAGGTGTTTTCCCTCGTTTTTGCATTTTCATCCACAAGGGCTGCAAGGGAAAATTGTTCTCATTTTCAGTTTTTATGTCCATGATTTTGTTGGTTTAGTCTCTTATATGGCAGAAAATGGTGAAAAATGTCAGTGTTTCCCAAAGCCCAAGACAACAGCCTCAGATGTCCCAACCCAGAGATATTCAGTTTACTGTCACAGAAGAGCCAGAAAATACTCACATATAAGAAGCTGGAATCAGATGATTTAGACGTATTTTTCGCCCTTTGAAATAATTTTTCAAACTGACTAAGCAATTATGAAAGCACTTGGTCATTACAAAGCATTTATTCGTTGTAGCGCTACATGATCCTTTAGAATGCGCTTACAGTATGTTGATGGAAACACGTCTATTGTCATGACTTAACAAAGCGCTTAAATCTACCAGAATCCTCATTAACAGGCTTTTCATGTTACGATAGGAAGGTTTACTGATCTGAAGGGCGTCTCAGTGGTGTGGACAATAATGTCTGAGTTACTCCTGCAGTGATTGCTAGGATAGTTTTTAATAAGAATTTTTGGGTATAGGGAATCAGTCAGTTGTAAAAGTAAATGCTCAGCAGTGATCTGCTGGCTGACATTAGTAATAATAATAAGGTCCCAGCAGAGTGAGATGTTGTGTGGGTTCCTTCTGTAGCCACGTTAGCAACAGAACACAGTCCTCACATTTCATCATCACCTGTACCTGTGGACATTCACGGTAATTGCACTTGAACATACAACGTGTTCTCTCGCTGTACGTCAGAGAAGGTGATTGTTGCAGTTTATTAGCAATGAAGACCAAATGAGGAAAACTGGGCTTCTAAGTAAATTAGGTCCAGATTTCCTCATGTAGAGACTGACTGTGTCAGAAATACATTATGAAATTTATGAAACTTTATGAAAGTCAAGACACAGAAACTGTAAATATTGAGTGGTACTTGTACCTCTATTTATACACGCCAACACTCCTTTTACTATTATATAAAAGGAACTCTGAGAGGAGTTTTGTACTAAGTAGAGCCCAGTTCTGGTGCTTCAGTCTTACCTCGTATTTTTCGTATTATGTTTGAACAGGTACTACTTTTGTAAGAAAAAGCTATACACCCGAGAAGTGATGTAACCTTTTGATTTTCGCTATACAGTAATACAAATATTTGCATTAAAGCTTTGTATTAAGATTCTTCTATTTAAGTCCCTTTTTTTCCATAAATGTTAAATAAAACCTTTTTTGTCTGCTGTGAAGGAGAGCTGAAGTGGAACAGCACTGCCCGCCAGCAGTTTGTGCCTTTACTGTGTTACCCTGCTCTTTTTTTGTTTGTTTTCTTTCAGAAAAATAACCCAATTTGGCAGCACTTACTGTTGTTCTGAAAGCATTTCAGTATCTTTAAAAGCTCTTCTAACCAACGTGATTGAAAAAAAGTCTTCCACTGGAGTTTAAGTGACTTCTACAAGAGACAGAAACTGGGTTTGGACTAAATGAGAGGCACAGGAGATTTTTTCCCCCCCACATTTTATAAAACATTACACTTCTGAGGAGAAGAACCATAGATTTGTTTCTCCTTTTTTTCCCCTTTCTTAGTAGCAAATGAATGAGTTTTTTCTTAAAGTTTTTATTCACATGCGTAACTGCCGAAGCAGCACATCAACATTTCTTAGCATTTTGCTACAAATTCAAAAATGTCAAACGTTAACACTGATCAAAGCTCACCTTCTCCTAACAAAATAATATTGCACTTAACATCCTTTCACACCAGCCGCCATTATTCTCACACTTAATATATATATATTTATATATATATACTGACGTCCTTGCCTTTTGCATTCACACAGATGTAGCTTTTATCCTCATACAGAAACATCAGTAAGAAAGTCATCTTAAAAAAACACAGGGGGCTAGAAATTACACTAATTTTCAAAAGGAAGTATTCTATACTATACTTGTACAAATCTCAGGTATTTTTCAAGTGCTATACAGCAAGAAGAAATAGTGTTTTCTTTAAAATAAAACGCCAGCTGGCTACTGCTCGTCCTCATTTTCCTGGCCTGAACCTTCAGAGCGATCGCCTTCTATTCGATCTACGAGGAGGAAAAAGGCCGACATTAAAGAAGCAGAGAAACAAAAGACAAGTTTCTGAAAACACAGAGTCATACGTGGTGCTGTGAGTGTACGACTTGTGTGTTTACCTGATCTGATGTGATTTAGGGACGCCAACATTCGGAGCATGAAAGAGGCCGGGACTGTGATTGTGTTTCTTGTTTCCTCTAGCATGAGCTCATTCCGAGTTATTACCTGGTGGGAAGAGAAGAAGAAAGGTGAAAAGGACGCGAGTGAGAAGCATCTGAAGGAAGGCTGAGAAACTGAGCAGCCAAACAGAGTGAAAACAACTTGTTTTTTTTTTTTAAAGGAATCCTGGGATTTTGGGACAATCTATCATGAAGGCTACACCAAGCACAATTAGCTGACCCACACGTCTCATCTAACTCAGGAAAACATGACATTTTGGGTTCAACATTTCTTTGCTTTCTTGGCAAGAGTCAGACGAGTAGATCAGCAGCAGTCTCACGTCTGAGGCTAAGAACAGACGGGTTAGCTTAGCATAAAAACTGGTAGCTCTCTTTTAGTTCGTTGTACCTCGTTTGCTTGCGTTTAAAGAACATTGCCAGAATTCGACTGATAAGTTTTAAAGATACTATAACAGTTTATTCCCTGGATTACTCCAACAGGCTGTTTTACACGCCTAAATATTAAAACTAACAACCAGCTACAGACAGTACAGAACTAAGCCTCCCTGATTTAGCCTCTTTACTCTGACCTCCGGTATGTTTTAGAATCGGTTTCAGGGTTCCTTTAATTAAGCACCACATGGTCGGACTCCTCAGTGTGTCTCAGATCTTTTATTCCGACACAACCTTTCTCGCACTTTGAAATCCTCAGACAGGGGTCTTCCAGACTCTCGGCCGAAGCTTTTGAAATAACAACCCTGAAGCTCTGGAATAACCTGCCTTAAGAAAAATGGCAGACTGAGGCAGTGGCTTCTATTAAATCTCAGCTTCAAACAAACTTTTTTGCCCTTCTGCCTTTCCTGATTTGATCTGATTGTAGTTACTTTGATCACGGATCTCGTCAGCGGTAAGGACTGTTTTATACTTTTCTTCTCTTTTCACTGTGTTTTTACGTTGGGTGTTGTGTGATTTTTCCTTGTTATGTGCAGCACTTTGTAACTGCTTTGCAACATGATACAGATTATTGTGTTTAAAGCAACATTTTTTGGAGAAAGAGCTAGAAATAGATGGCGAGAGGGCACGCTGGGTAATTAGGTCCTGTCAGAAGACGTCGGCCTTCGAGTGATTTGTCGAGAACAGTTGTGATTTGCTGCCTGGCGGAGGACCAGTCGTCGTTAATTTGAAGGTGGAGAAAGCTCATGAGGTGGGTGCTGTGCTTGTCGTCTCCCTGTAGGTGAGCATTAGTGAAAACAAAGCCAGTGGAGTTTTTCACAACTGACATTTGTCACAGCAAGCAAAGCACATACATGTTAATGATGGCTGCTTTTATGCGTGCTGCTTCACTCTCATGGCTGAATAAGACCCTCGATCAATTATTCCACCTGAGGTTTTCCTGTCAAAATGTCTGCTGTGAAAAGTGGAGTTGTCTTCTGCTGCCACTTTTAAAGCCATTAGAGGTTTTAGCCACAGTCAGTCAAATTGGACCTGAGCTTTCTGATGTTGGGTAGTGTGTGAAGGTGATACATTCACGGTTTTGCTTGTGAGATTATGATGTCCACTGGGCTTCTTCAGAGGAGGAAACACAGAAATGGACACTTCTAATTAGCAAATGAAAGCTTTTTGAATTTGGGGATCCTGTATAAGTTGGTTTAAAATCATTTTGGGTTGATGCTGCTGCTGTCTTCCAAGGCGTGTCAGAAAAGTTCCAGGACCAGTGTCACAAAAGATATATTTTAAACCCAAACTACGAGTTTTCCCCTTCAGATGATCAACCAGCACGTCTACAAAGAGATCCTGCGGCGTTTGCTTCGTTCAGTCCACGAGAAGAGGAGTTGTGGCAGGACAAGTCGTGGCTGCTTCACCATGACAACGCACCTGCTCACAACGCCCTGAGCATCCAACAGTTCCTGGTTGAGAAGAACATCGCCGTCCTGGACCAACCTTCCTTCTCACCCCACCTGACTCTGTGGGATTTTTTCATCTTCCCCAAGCTCAAGGGGGTCATCAAGGGAACCTGTTTTGAAGACGTGGACGACATCAAGATGGCTGTGACGACGGAGCTGTGGAGGATCCTGGAAGAATCCTTCCAGGAGTGCATGGCGGCGTGACAGAGAAGGCTGGGAAAGTGTGTTAGACTCCAGGGGGATTACTTGTATGGGGAAACTTGTAGTTTGTAGTTTGGATTTGAAGAATATCTTTTGTGACACCAGTCCTAGAACTTTATGACACACCTCATATATCTTGTTGCCTGACACATAAATACATTTTTCTACTGATTTCACTCTACCTCATCAGCGAGGACTCTGTTGAAAGACGGTGATTCTTCCAGCGGCGACCATATCTTGATATCATAGTCTATCCCTGAAGAAGCCAAAACTGAAACCGAGCCAGAAAATGAGCATAAGGTTAACATGCAAGAAAACGTCGCCGCATCATCTTGGAGCAGACGATCCGAATGTCTGGAGGACTAGTTTGAGGCTGCAGCGGGACTCACTGGGGTCGTAGGGGTGCGGCTGCAGGCAGTTGACCACGTGGTTGTCGGCTTCGAGCAGCATGAGGTGCTCTGCGGTGTGTCTGTCCCAGATGAAGATGTGTCCGCAGTCTGAGCCGCTCATCACAAAGTTGTTGCCCCAGAAACACGATTCTTTAATCTGCACAGAAAAGCACCTTAAATTATTACGCTGCTGCCGTGTTGAGAGTCTGATGAGGACAGTGACGTCGCCGTGATATCAGTGTGAAGCAGGTAGATTCTCATCTTAGCATAACAGCTTGTCTGGCTTGGTGTGAACTTAAAGAAAAATCTGCAACTCGAGAGGTTTGGTGCCAAATATTTTCTTGACAGTTAATTGACAGAACTTCGAGCAGCGTCTGTGGCTACAGTGGAGGTTACCGATTAGGTCCAGATTCACTGAAAGTAGACTCAATTACAGTTCTATGTAAAGGCATAATTAGTACCAAACCTGGCAACCTGACAGTGATGACAAGATGTCCCTGCACCCGTCACCAAGAAATAGTTACTTTCTCTTTACATGTTTTTGAATGAATTAACTTTCTGAACCCCAAAACCTGCTGGTGGGTTTGTGAGACATGTGGTCTTTATAACATTGCCAAAATTACACCATTTATCAGAACCAGAAATTGCAAATACAAAAGAAATGTAGAAATCTACTTTTCAGTGCAACAGTGAAACCATTATTGACTCACATGGAAACAGTCACATAAAAATCACAACACTTTTAGCTGAATCGGGTTAAACTGCAGGCTGTGTTTACACAGAGCAGATGGGAAAAAAGTGTGGAATTAAACATGTGGTTAATTATCTATAGTATTTCGAGTCTTCATTTTATTGGTGACACCTTGGGGGCTTCAGAAAAAATGTCTGTGCTAAAAACTTCTACGTTTTTTATTTTTGTGAAATAAAGAATCAATCTTTTTTTTTTTTAAGGATTTATGGTTTTATAACTGCCGTACTGTACACATATTTTTGAGTTCTTTTTACTTTAAGCCATGGTTGTGTAGTTTCCATGGAGGTGCAGGACTTGATATTGCAGTTAAAAATGTGACAATAGCAAAAAAAATAAAACGTCAAGAAAGTTCTTGGGATTTAGAGGGTTAATCAAATTATGTAATCATTTATATGCTTTAAAAGATGTAGTTCTGAATAACTGACTGGCTGGTAGTTCCCCCTGTTTCTGGTTGTGATGCTAAGCTAAGCTACGTGACTTAAGCTTCATGCTTTACACATCGCCTCATCTACGTCTCATCTAAAGAAGCACGTTTCTAAAAGTTTTTAGCTCCAGACTAAAACGACAAACATGGCCTGAGGTTTACCATAGTCCTGGAGTTGCGGTGGCCTTTGTAGACCATTTTGACTGAAGGCCTCCTGATATTCTGGGTCTCGCTCTCTTCCATCTCCCGTCTTTCTTTCCTCCGGCGGAACAGCTCCTGGATACGAGCTGCCGCTGAGCGTCTGACGAAAAAAACGAAACCAAGACATGTGAATATAAAGCGTCTACAAACACACACAATCTCATGCTGTAATTGTTGCTTATAGGAAAACACCATGCTTTCAATGTATGCTGGATTTATATGTTCAACCATTAACAAGCTGTTTGAAACAAACTCCAAGCTAGAAAGCAGCCACTGTGGAGGGAAAACACCTGCTGGGTCCATCATAACAGACTCAAGCCAACAGTATTCTGTTGTCTCTGTGACTTTAGAGTGACTTTGTTCAGTCAGATACACATTGTAGGACCAGTACGTAGCTGTTTTCAATCTATTGATGAAATCCGACCATTTAAATTGCTCGGCTCCTTTCCATCAGGGTGTCATGCACGCGTCTTGGTCATTCTCCATCTCTGAACGGTACAAAATGTTTAAAATGCAGCTGTGATGCTTCTATTCACACCATTTGTGGAGTCAGTACTCGCATGCATCGCACCCTACAGCCAGCTCTGTGTATTATTAGCTTGTTGCGAGTGAAATGATCAAACACTGCACATCACGTTGTGCTCGAGTTTAAATGCTCTGCAGCATGTCACACTCCAGGTTAGATGCTTTTAGTCGTCAGTGCAAACACGTTACCTGATCATCCTATCTCCTACTGCAGATCCTCTGGAATTAAATCTATATTTGTAGTAAAACAGTCAATGGCAAGGCATCACACATAACTCAAATAAGAACACCCGCTCTTTGACAGTGAACAATAGAATCTAATGATAGCCTACATTCGAACACATGAGGGGTGTTTTCTTACTTGCAGTGTATAAATAGAAACAAGAGCGTCATCTTGTCTAACACACCTCTGTCCCTGTCCTCTGAACCTCGTTGATGGGATGAGAATGGGATCGTCGTCGCTGTCGTCAGAGTCCTGGTTGCCCCGTGCAGGCTGACTCTGGCCTTCCTCTCCCTCCTCTGCCGGGGGCTCCGCTCTCCTGCAGCCCCCCGATGTGTCCTCCGTGCCCTCCTGCTGACTCCTCTCCTGCGGTGAGGATGCCATGCTGCCCCCCGCAGAGGAGCCCGCCGCCGTGGCCGGAGCGGCACCGGAGCAGGAGGCGTCACACGGCGGCTCCGTGGAGGCGGCCGGCAAACTCTGCTGCCCCGAGGACTCAGAGGGAGCTGGAGGGAGGAGAAAATACAAGTTACTAGGTAGGCATGCTCAAATTCAGGTCAGCATCTATGGCCCGTGGCTGTTTGCTGAACCATATCGATCATATTATTGAAGTAAATGCTGATGGACATCACTCACGCTGCTCCGATGCTGAGCTCTCCGTCGACAGACTCTCTCTGCTCTGTACAGCCACAGCCTCAGACGTTTTGGGGCCTCCGCTGCCCATCGAGCTGGACGTGCTGCTGCTCCTGTAAAAAAAAAAAACAACAAAAAAAACATTTCCAGCTTGAGCTGATGATAAGGTTACACTTGTTCCTCAATGACGAGTCTGGAGCTGAAGGCCAACAATGTTCACAAATGAACTAATAAACAGCGGAGGACAAAGCTCTCCAAGCATAACAAGAAAATACTCAGAATGTTCAACATGTGCACGTATACGAACACTAAATGAGACGTAGATCACAGAAGCAGCTGTAATGAGCAGCTACTCTGGACTACGACGCCTTTTAAGATTTTCTCTGCTCCTCAGGCTGCATCAAATCGATCAGTCAGCCACAGGAATTACCAAACCGCTGCTCTTTTTAAAAAATCCTTAGGTGAGAATCTCCTGAGACGACACTTGACCACCCAAATCACTGTCGTTAATTAAAATCAATAGCATAATAAAAAGTACAGATTCTGCTCTCCATCACACTTAAACAGCAATTCTACTGATGTCTAAAGACAAAGCCAGGAATCCTGCAACCTCCAGTTAATGATATGCGACTGATGAAATATAGTTTGTAGAAATAACACCCAGTTTGATTTTCAGTATGAAAACACACTGACGCGTCTTTCCTCCTGTAAAACTGAATAAAGCTTTCTGCGGGAGCAAAGAAACCGTGTTCAGGTTCTGATGTTCTGTCTGACACATTGAGGAGTTTTTGGATGCTCAGCTCTCCTTTAACAGAAAAAAACTAAATAATTAGGAACAAAAAAATCTATTTTATTGTTCTAATGTGAAGGAGATCTCTTCAAAGTGCAAAAAAGTAATAATAAAAAGACAAATGCCAACAGACATGAACAAAGTAAACTGTCAGTAAACAGTAACACATGTTTTTAGTGTTGGAATAATAGCAGCAGATTAGTTTTATTTTACAGTGGAAACTCTGTGTTTTCTTTTCCTGCATTTCCTTCCTAATTGCTATTGGCAATACGTCTGTGTTGCTACTTCACATAATTAGACTCCTACAAGGGAAACAACTGAAAGTACATTATCAGTTTACTGAGATAATGAAGGTTTTGAACCCCCTCAAAAAAGGCAATTTATGCCTTTAGTGAGTTTCACAAGTTCTCAAAGTTTCCATAGCAGAGTATGTTATAAAAAAAAAAAAGTCAAAACCCTGTCAAATCAGATTGTTAAAGCTGAAAAACGTTGATACATCAAATATATATATTCAATTATTAGTTCATATGATGCTCACACAATGAACACCTTCCTTAATGTTCAACATTTCAAAAAAGTTGGATTTGTTATAGATGTAAGTAAAAATAGTAATACAGCATGTTGGGTTTAGACATGCATAAACCCTTGAAGCATCACTTCTCTTTTAAGTATTCAGCACATTATTACTCTGTATAGTCTTGTAGCATCTATATCCCTTTATATCTGCACTTCTGAATCAAAACTCCAGACCTGTAGCCCTCATGATTCATGCACCAAGGGCATTTAAATTAATAAAACTGTGTATTGTTGTGTCATCAGTGTGTCAAATCAAAATTCTCATACTTTATCCTAGAATATTTGTGTGTCTGAGTGTGGGGAGTCGAAGCTGACCTAGTGAGGTATAAGATGAAATAGTGCAGCCCGAATGCTATCTGGGGTATAAATTAGAGGAGGCCAGATTTCACTGGGATTTAGCTCACTGTAACCCCAGGCAGGGGTCTGTTCTGTCCTGTTACAGCAACATTATCTATTAAGTGTCTTCAAGGTATGAAAAAAAGAGATTTCGGAGAGGTTCTCTAGACGTTTCTGCCTCACCACTCATCAGTGAAGTCCAGCTTGATGGTGCTGGTGGTGGTTCCCTCTGAGCTGTAGTGCAGGCTGAGGACTGGCTCTGCTGCACTGGGTCTACTGGTGGAGGTGGAGGAGGAGGAGGTGGTGGTGGAGGAGGTGGAGGAGGTGGGAGGGCTGCTGCTGGCCGGTGCAGAAACAGGTTCATCTGGTGGTGAACCTGAAGCTTCTGCTGTTCCTGAGCAGAAAAGAGGACGACACACAGGCAAAGCAAACAAGACGAGCTTATTAGTGCTGCAGAAACATAAAGGCTGCTCAGCTTCACTCTCTAACTCTGATTTTTTTAAAAACATCTGTGATTTTTTTTCTGTTGTTTGCAGCTTTTTAGAAGCACACTAGAAATATGCAACCTTCTGTTGCATCCATTCCCTCTGAACACCGAACAGAAATGGGAACATGCAACAGACGTATACAGAGCAGACACAAAGGACACATCAACAGACACGAGTCGACTGTTAACAGCCACAGCAGCAAGACAGGAACACACAAGAAACACGAGACAAAGCCCCTGAAGGATTATTTCATACCTTCATACAATGAGGAATGAGGAAAATAGCTCCCAGTGAAGGCTGTTTATTCTAAAGACTAACAGAGTTTTTAAATGTGTAAATGTGTTGTCACTGGGAGAAAGGACAAGTCTCAAACAGGTGCGCCACTTCAGAATCAGGGCTGCAAATTAATCAATATATTTTTTTCATTAATAACTGTTTAGAACATAGTAGTCAATATTAGCTGAAATGCCAAATAAATTAAAAAGCTCCAGATTCTCAGGCATTAATCAGAGCTATGTTTGCATCAGCGTGTACCGCAGTTCAGCGATGTGGCGGTGCAGAACACAGTCATACAAATTCAAAAATACTTCATTACAAGTAAAAGTTGTGCGCTGAAAACGTGATCAAAAATGTAATTTAAATGTCTTTTAATTCAGAAAACAGTCCCTGTGGGAGCGATGCTGTTGGAATTATTGTTACTGATAAATCAACATGGAGGCAGCATTTTCTATATGATTACTGTATGTGTTGGTAAGAAAAATCTTAATCTATAAAGACAATAGCAACTAAAACTGAGAAATAAATGTAATGGAACACAATATTTTTCTCAGATTTACTTTTAAACAGTGCACACAGTATTTATATTTACTTAATTCGACTGCACATTACATTACTTTTAAATGAAACACAAAAATCATGGAGCCTAGTTAATACTGGACGGTGGGGAGCCGCTGGGAGTTCAGAGGGTTGCTGTGAGGTTTAAGCAACACTATACCCGCCTATCAATGCTCATAAATAACTCGACACGGCTCTGTAGAGAGGTCACGATACATTGGAGGTAAATCAGAAACCGTGTCACTACTACATTACATAGTTTGTCCACCAGAGCGCACTGACGGGTTTATGTTTCAGCTGTAAATTATCCTGCATATTTAAACTCTTAAAAAAAACACATTCAAGGAAACTTCATTGAAGATCAGCTCAAAAAGGGAACACTGCTTGGGCTCTAGTGTGAGCATTTGCTGGTTTTATTAATTTCCTATGATGGATTGAACAAAAATAAGTTGCACCACCTTAAAGATCAAGAAAAAGACTTTTTTTTTTTTGTTGGTTTGGGTTAACTAACCCTTTAACGGCAGGTAAAAACAGCCGCAACGTACAAACAAATGTAAAGGTAATATCCGTGCTGTTTGTATTCCTTGATGGAGTGTCTTGTCACTAAGCTAAACTAATTGAATTATGACTGCATCAAACTTTTAATTATTAACATTATCACTGTGTTCCTCAGCCCAAGTAACACAGGTAAGATGGACGTGCTCCCTCTGCTTTAATATATAGTTAATGATGGAGAGAAAAGCGGTGGGTACAGAGAAAGCAAAAAGCATGAAGACAGACGAGGACAAACTGTGGAGGAGGACAGCATGAGAAGAAGTGTTTTTATGACAGAGGGTGAAGAAGACAAAGCGAGTGGCAGGGTGGGCTGAGGGAGGGGAGGACGCACCCTGCTGTTCGTCAAGAGTCATGGATCCCAGCTGTTTGTTTACCACAGACGAGGGGGAATCTGGAACACAAATGAGACCGACTAAACATCCAACACAGAGGTCAAACCTGAGGGCTCACACAGTCACGACGCACGAGGGTTAAAAACGTCCAAGTCATGTTAAAAAAAAAAATAAAAATAAATCCAAGGCCAAGCAGGGAGAGCTTTAAAAAAATATATCAGCCACAGGAAATTAAAAAAAAGCTTCGTCTGATAACACGGGAGATCAGTTCATAGCTTTAGCTTTTTCAAATGCAAAATGAGTATCAGAGATTAGTAAGTCTGAACGGAGAATGAGGTTCACACATGTTTACTACAAATGTGTTCAGAAATATCCCTACGCTGTTTGAGAAAACCTGGAAATCACAACCATCAACGTGCTTATTCTTAGATGCTGTGTAAGAAAACTGAAATAAATACAACACAAAAAAACCTGGTTGCAACAAAAATAATAATAATACAAACATATTTAAGTAATAATCTTGCGACTGCCAAATAAAAGTCAAACCTTTCTGCTTTTCATCTTTTAGTGAAGTGAAACAATTCAAGCACCTGCCCTTTACTCAATAAATGATTCTCTGGTGTCAAACCTGTCCAGTTAAAGCCCCTTTCAGACACACTGTAAATGTGCAGTTTTACATGTTTGAATGTCCCTTTAAGAATTAGTTTTCTGATGAATTAAGAAATTGATGAGAAAATACACAGAGTTGTCTCACTTTGAGAGGCAGCGGCCAGCGCCCCTTCAGCTCATGATGGTCATTAATTAAGGCTTCAACTGCAAAGTAAGTTTTAATTCTTAACTCCAAGCAGCTTCTGAGTCCTGCATCTCTATGGAAGTAGAGAGAACTCCAAAATACGCTCACTACGCATGCACAATGAAGTGATTTTGAGGAATTCTTAGCTTCGATTTGGTGAAACTTTCTGACAGATGAGTAGTTCAAGGACCATCGGAAAGTTAAAATGTTATGACTTTCTGTTTCAACAGTTTCTGGCTCAGATAAATGGTGTCATTGTCATAATTTTTTAAGACAACATGCCTTTCACCAATGGGTTTTGGTGTTCTAAGGGTTTTTAAAAAAAAAATCACTAATACAGCTTGATAGATAATCAAGAATACTCTCCTCGCACACCTGATGTCAAATATTGTGAAAGTATGTGTAGTGGCCTTTCCTCAATCTAGAAGCAACATTTACATATCCCATGTCTGAAAAGGGCTTTATTCTCAAGTATAAGTGAAGTCAAACCAAAGTGAAGCAGCAAATTATGCAAGTTATGGTCACTTGTTCAGGAAACGGATCAGAGTGCATCATCAAACATGGGTGAACAACCACGTGAGCCATGATGACGCCAAAAGCAGAGCTTCATACCGGCTGGTGCCACTCCAACGGGAGAGTTTTGCAGGTGAAAACTCAAGCAACAAGTGAAGAGATGGAGTGAGAGCATTAGTGAGTGAGGGGCTGAGCAAACAGTGGAGAGGCGACACAGTGAAGGCAGTAGAGGTTAATAAGTACAAGGTGCATTACTGGGGGAATGGAAAGAGGATCACTGCGGGGTTAGTGGTCAGTTCGAGCAAGACCGGGGCTTTCTGGAGCCTAACTGTGTCTACAAACAGACACGTGTGCCTTTGGCTACATAGCGGGGTAAGATGGCAGGGGAAGGGGCCCCAGGCGAACAGCCCGTATGGAGGGGTTGCTGCAGGGTCGGGGAGCTCGGAGGGGCGGGTAACCTGTACGGGGTTGCGTCTCAGCAGCAGCAGCAGCAGAGGTAGCAGCTCTTTGTGACTGTCTCTCAGGGGCTGCAGAGGAAGAGGAAGAAGAAGAAGAAGGGGCCGCGCCCTGACCCTGTCCTGGGGGGTCGGCCAGCCGGAGCAACCTCTGCAAACGCCTACACACTAAACTTATGGGCAGCCGATGAGGACCGTACTCTGACAAAGAGGCAGAGGAAGAAAGGGAGAGTGAATGCACGATTAGAAGACTGAGGGAGGAGGATGTGAGGAAAAGGTCGGGAGCAGAGAGTCTGGCAAAAAAAAAAAACGAGGAGAAGGACAACAGGAAAAAAAAAAAAAAAAAAACGAGGAGAAGGACAACAGGATGCTGAAGGAAAAGAGAGTGAAGTGAGGCTGGTGCTTGAGTGGAGTGGCTCCAATGAACACACACACAAACATACACTCACATAGAGTTGTGAACAGAAGTTTACATACACTTATAAAGACCATGTATATCATTACAGTCTTGAGTTTCCAATGACTCCGATAACTCTGAATTTTCCATGATGGAATGATTGAAACACACGTGTCTTTGTCACAAAAAACAATCATGAGTTTTGGTTCTTTCATAGATTTATTAAGGGTCTACTGGAATTATGACAAAGTCTGCTGGATCACAAATATTCATACATCAAATTTTCCTAGTGGCGTGTCGTCTTAACTTCTCATGAGTGATTACGATTGACTACAGCTGTTGACTCCTCTGAGCCAATTTAAATAGGACCCATTTGATCCACTCCTTAGACTCAGCCACAAACAACACGGTGGGAAAGTCTGAGGAGCTCAGCACAGATCTGAAAAAGCAAATCATTGAGTCAGGAAAGTCACTTGCAGCCATTTCAAAGCAGCTTCAGATCCTAAAATCATCTGTGCAAACCATTGTTTGTGTGTTTGTTGTATTGTAAAGTACACGGCACTGTCAAGAAAAAAAAACACAATTTACTACCTGGTGCTGAGAGGTCAGGATGGTCAAGGGACAACCAAGAATCACCAAGAAGCAGCTCTGTAATGAACTAGAAGCTGCTGTAACACAGGTGTCTAGTCTGGAGTGTTTTCCAGGATCATGAGCTGAGAGGCTGCCACATAAGAAGGAAGCTCTTCCACTAGAAGAAACACCTTAAACCTTGACGTAAGTTTGCTGCTGATCACATGGACAAAGAAAAGGCCTTCTGGGGGAACGTTTTGTGTTCTGAAAAAAATGAGCGAGTTGGCCACAATAACAAGAAATATGTTCGAGGGGAGAGAAGGTGAGGCTTTGTACCCCAAAAACACCAAACCTACAGTCAAGCATGGGGGTGGTAGTATTATGCTCCTGGGCTTGTTTCCTGACAGTGGAACTGTTGCTTTACACACAATAAATGAAATGATGAACAAAGACAAATATCCCCACATTCTTCAGGAAAACCTAAAATCCTGGGTCATAAGGTTGGGTCTTGGATGCAGCTGGGTGCTCCAACAAGACAATGACCCTAAATACACATGAAATGTGGCGAAGAAATTGCTAAATCAAGCTAGAATTAAGGTTTTAGACAGTTCTCCCCACAGTCCTGACTTAAACTCCATCGAGAATCAGTGAACTGTGATAAAGAAACAAATCTGTGTTAGAAAGCCAACAAATTTAATTGAACTGCACCGATTCTGTCCTACAACTAGAAGGTTCCCAGAAGCTTGTGGACCGCTACCAGAAGCACCTAATAGAGGTAAAAATGGCCAAAGGACATTTAACCCAATATTAGCATGGCTGTATGAACATTTTTGACTCTCCGCAGATTTTGTCATATTTCCAAAACACCTTTAATAAATCTATGAGAAAAAACAAAATGCATGATTACTCTTTCGTGACAAAGACACGTGTTTCAATCATTCCATCACAGATGATTCAGAGTTATAGACATCATTGGAAACTCAAGACTGTAATGATACACATGGCCTTTACAACTGTACATCAACTTCTGTTCATGACTGCACACACACAGGATATAACCTGAGGATACCTAATCGCTGCACTGAACAGTAAAATGTGGATTTCTGGAGTGTTTTCTGAGCACTGAATCACGTTAAAGTGTCACTGTGACTGTTGATCTGGATACTCACCTGACAGTGCGGGTTCAGAGGTGGGCGTGGCCGTCGGCGTGGGGGTGCCGGTTGTGTCGGCCTGACTCCTCTGTTCTGAGTCTGGGGAGGACGTGAGGGGGGAGGAGGAAGGGGCCGAGCTCTCCACTGAGGAGGAGCTGGAGGGAGGTGGTGCTGTGACTGCTGATGACGACCCTGAGGAGGAAGAGGAGGTGGATTTAGGCATGGGGGCAGCGGCAGCGGCTGCGGGACTCGCGGGTACCTCTGGGGAGTCTGTCCCCACAGGCCTCTCGGGGGCGCTGGACTCCTGACTGGAGTCCCCCGTCGGGGCAGCAGGAGTGTTCCCCTCTGGACGGACGGCTGTTCCTGGAAACAAGAACATTAAAAAATAATTACCATGGGGTGCCCCTATAGCTCGCCTAGTTGAGCAGGTGACCCATGAACAGGGGCTATAATTCCCCGATGCAGCGGACATGGGTTCCACTCCTGCTCATGACCCTTTGCTGCAGGTCTCTCCCCATTCTTCTCCCCCCTTTCCTGTCTATCTCCACTGTCTCAGTTTGCCAGCTCGTTCTGTTAAATATATAGTCTGGCTGCACTTCAGTATCATTCTGCTATAGGGGGGGAAAAATGCTGCAGCTTGTTTGTATGTCTTTAAACCAATCACAGTTTTTGAGTAGAGCTAAGCGAAGGCTGCGGCTCCCTCAAAATAGTGATGGTTGGAACTGTTGATGTACATGATTGCGGATTTTGAAAAATAGAAGAAGGAGAGGAGAATGGCCAATCAGATTAGTGCTCCTACAATTTTAAGCACATTAACGAGTCTAACTTGAAAGAGATCAGACAAAAAGGGCTACTTCTACTGTTTATGGTGACACATCTTTAATTAAACCTCTTGACTCTTTACCATTTGATAAATGGGAATAGTGTGAAACTACATGAATGCCCCACTGATGCCAGTTCTATTGAAATTATTGTTGTTGTACATTGATCCTGATGACGGTACAAAAGTCTTCTCTCAAACAGGATGCGTGAAAGGGACTTAAGATTGAGTTTATACTACATTACATCAGGCCTCCAACTTTCGCAAATGATAAATGTATATTTTATTGTCTCCATTACTGATTAAACCATTTTACGTGAAAAAAAACGTCTTCAGATTGCTGGTTTTGTCTGACCAACAATCTGAGGAACAAGCATGTGGAGTTTGCTCTCATATAAAGCAAAGAAAAGGAGCAAATCCTCTCCATGTTTGGCGTTTTTGGTAGAAAAGATCACTTAAATAATTACTCAATTATTCAGTCTTCATCATTTAAGTACATACAGACTAATTTGTTGTTGCAGCTCTATATAGATTTACACAGCAGGACATGGTCCCTCTTAAACTTATTTGCATATATTGCGAAGGGATTTGTGTAAAAAATCTCATAAAATTGGAAGAATTACATTTAAATCTTTATAATTCCAAATTTTTCAGAGAAAAGGTGAAACCAAGTAGTATTTATCACACTGTGGCAGACAGACAGCAGGTTGACTTTTCCTCATTAACAAAAACAAACACATCAGTATTAAAGCATCGTTTACTACAAACCTAACAATAATTTAATTGCTGTAAAGGAATTTTACAGCCTGTTTGATGAGCAGAGTTTTTCAGATGGGGGGTTCCTCACCTCGGGGTCGTGTCTGAGGTCGAGTTCCTCTGCTGCTCTGAGCTTCACTGGCCTCCTCAAACCACCGAGACAACATGTCTGACATCCTCTGCATCAAAGACACGTTTGGACTCTGTTCCCCTGGAAGGAAGAAAAATACATATTAAGTTATTATTATTATGATTTTACAGAAGGACTTTACATTGTTCATTTCATTATTAGCTGTTTTAGTTAATCAGTTTCATTATCCTATGAATCTGTATGGACTTTGTTCAAGTCATTTTACAGTTTTAGATGAATTACATTTTATTACATGCTTTATTTTATTTCTTCTTTTTTTTTTTACCTTTGCCTGTGAAGCACTCTGAGTAGCCTCTGTGTATGATAAGATGCTATATAAACACGTTTACTTGATTGCCTTTGTTCATGTTTGTGTAAATATGATATGTCTCAGAATGAAAACATTAATTACTGAGTCTAACATCACAAAACCTCCACTGTTATATACAGACCACTTCACATTTTAAGATTTGGACAATACACTACAGAGAGTTGTTGTTCCTCATTCAGAGAGTGACAAACGAAAAAAAGGGCTCTTTACAGAAACTATTGATTAAATTAGTGACATGTGTTTTGCAAATTTAAACAAAATTAAAAACTGGATGATAATTTGAAACTTCTCACTGAGTCACTGTCCATGTTGTTCTCTGCTAAGGAGGCTACTTTTCTCCAAAGATGAGCTATTAAAGTTTCTTTCTGTAAAAGTAGCAGCTTAATAAATCTTATAATAAATGAGTTGTCATGCATCAACTCTAATAGAGCACATGATAACGCAGAGTGTAAGAAATCGAGCAGTTTAGCAGTTTCGAGTAGAAGCACCTTCCAGCTTGTTACTTCAGTTTGATGGCCCACAACTTGACTTCTCACTGTTTTCATGTTCTGTTGCAGCAAGACAGTGTTTTCAGCATAAAAGCTGACTGAACACTATCTGCTCAGCACCCAACGACAGACTGATATAGTTAGGGGCTAGCTGGTGGAGCGTTTTCCAGCCAAAGAGCCAGATTGAAGTCAGCGGAGACCAGAAACTAAGTTTAAAGAGAGTGAATTAGATTCATCAGGGGGTCAGAAACATGACTCCACATAAATGAATATGTTTTTCTAACAGTGTTCTCTAAGTACGGGTCAAAAAGCAACTGGCTGCAAGTCGTTTTCAAAGGAAACTGACGATATTAAGCTACAAACTGATGCCCAACACCTGTCGCTGTGCTGTGAGACAGGCGTGATGCTTTACCAATCAAAGCTGAGCTGGCCTCAGCCTTTTTTAAAATGATGTGGGGAATCACATCATTTGGTCTTTTACCGTTTCCACCTAATTTCTCCCGTTTCATTTTGTTTGAAAAACAGGAGATAAAATGTACCCTTGCTATTAGCCAGTTCTGTTATTCAAGCCTACCTTTTTTTTTTTGTTTTTACTGCAACATAAATAACACCAATGAGCACTTGAACAACACTTCAACTGTGACTTGGCGAGTAGCTGCCGCACTTGACTGTTTTGTAACCGAATTAGTCAACGCAGCATAAGTTTTGGACGTGAGCAACTATTTGAGTTCCCTCATATCAACCTAAATGGGAATAAAATCCTTTAAATCAGGCTTACACAGTCTGAAAAAAAAAACAAGCACTCGTTTTAATTAAATTTAAACATTCGGAGGGGGGAGCCTTGAGATATTTTCTCAGAGGTCGAGCCTGTAACATGAGACCTGTGCTTTACACGAGCAGGAGTACATACTGTGATCTTACCATCTCTCTCCCTCTCACTCTCAGGGCGAGCTCGGGGTCCAGTGTCAGACCAGTCACCTCGTAGACGGAGGCGCTTCACTGGAGGCTGCCTCAGCTGTGGAAACACACACACACACACACACACGGAGAGAGAGAGAGAAAGATTAGCAGTTTGTCAGTCAAAGCATGGTCAAAAATAGCTCCGCTGCCAAAGCAAAACACTGCTTGTCTCTGTCAGTGTCCTCTTTAAAGTGCCCCCTCCCTTCTGGCTGCACGACTGAGGTTGCCTTCACTTTCCAGTCCCCTGGCTCTCTCTGCAGGGCAACAGGACGAGAGCCAGAAATAGAAAAAGGGGGTCTTAGTGGAGGGACTATCAACTGCTTTAGTTGGGAAATGTCATCAGGTCTGGACAGGTGGTGAAAAGGAGCAGAGGCTGAGAGAGATAGTAGAGCGAATCAGGGAAAGAAAAGGCCACGAACAAAGGAGGTCACAGGTAGAGGAAAGTGATAGAAGGGAGGGTAATGAGCCTTTCCTTGGCTGCCCCACCACCACCACCACCACCTCAGCCTGAACTATTTTGGTGGATTGAGGAACGCTGCCTGCGTCGGTCGCTGTATTTGGAAAGGAATGCGTGTGGTGGTTGCATCTCGACACAGCTGAACTCACCACGAGGCTCTGAAGGACTGGCACCATGATCCAGCACATTCAGACACACGTGAAGACCAGCCATAACCGTAAACACAGTTTTCCTGATCGATTTTCGAAACAGCTGCCCAGACAAACTGATATACATGAGAACGGTGCAAATCAGTCAGCAATCTATGACGCTGTTTCTGTCTTCGCTGCATTTCCTCCCCTCTCCTTCGTCCTGCGTCTTGGATTTTCAGGGTCATTTGCTCCCCTCACTGCACTGCATCAGCCAGCACAGATTTAGCACTGATGTCTGCGGCTCTCGGATTAGCAGACAGCAACAACAAGGGCCGCTCTGTTTACAACAAACTATCCTTTCACCCCAAAAAAAGCGCCTACACGGAAGCCTCTGCTCGGCTACACGTGCTTGTGTTTACTTTAAATGATGCACATGCAAGCAGCAGCAGTTGGATGCGGGTGAATACTTTCAAGAGATTTTAGGATTTTAATGTAGAACAAGAGAGAGCAGATTCTGCAGCATTAACCATCTCTGTCCGATTCTGCTGCATATTTTAATTTGAGCTTTATAATGAAGTAATCATCTAATTGATTGACGATAAAAACTGCAACAAGCACAAAAGCCCATCTGGCTCCAGCTTCTCTGTTGAATCTCATTGTCTTGTGATTCTCAGAACTCAGAATGGACACTTATTGCTTTTATTTTACACATTAAATGAATACACAATTAATCTTAATAAATAACGGGTAAACTAAACGATAGATTAGTTGCTCTCAGATCAGTAATCAAACCAATCAAACCTCCTCTCTGATCATCAGAATGACATCTTTAGAGGATCTGACCATGAAAACAATCCCTTCATGTCTTCAAATGGCTGACATGTGAATCCACACTGTTTCTTCTGTTACTGTGTGCAGCTATGAGAAATCCCAGCCTCTTTCTCCAGCCACCCCTCCGCCGTTTGCCTGCAGCTCGAGCACACCAGCTCATCTAAGACTCTGTACACTGTAAGCTTCACCTCACAAGTTGACAAGATTGGTTCCTTAGGTTTGTTAGGAATGAAAAATTGGAAGTCTGATTGTGAGTTATTGAGATGCTCATCTGCAGTTTCAAGGCGAAAACACTCAGCAATGGTGTTGACTGCTTATTTCACTCATTACCAAAAAAATACATTCCTGTGAGAGGGGGGTCTTTGTAGCAATGTTCGCATGCCCATGTGAACATTAAAATAGTTGTTTTTTCCAGAGTTAGGACCCACCAGGTCTCACTATCCAGTATGGACGAATCCAGAGCCATTACAACTCTTAAGTTCAGCCAAAGTTAAAGTGAGTCTCCACTGATCAGAGTTAAACAAATCAAGCATCAGGCACGTCTCATCAAGGTAGAACTGATTGGACCAACTCTGACTGCTGAAGCTACTTTCAGCAGAAGTTTTAAGATTTATTTTTGTAAGGACTCAAGTGTAGCAATGCCCTGCTGTGACACTGTCAAACTCATTCTTGGCACTTCAAAAAAAAAAGGATTGTTTTGTAACTGTTTTGTTACTCCACATGTTCTTCTTCCTTGTTGAAACTTGGTGCCAACATTACTCACAATGCAACTCAACCAGCAACAGTCCACTCAGTGGTTTGTGTGTGCTATGCGAGTAGCAGTTAATGAGAGCTTTCAGCAGGGATCAGGAGTAACTCCAGAAGTCTGGTGACCTTGTTTTATTTTAAATCTACAAAACAGATTAATGTTCTTCATTTTTAAACTTGTAGAGACCCTACTAATGCTATTTCAGTTAAGACAATTTATCTGATGTAATGTGCCACTCTAGAACTCTAAAATGCTCTATATAGGTTTGTTCACATGCAGTAATTGCCATTAGGAAGGGATCACTTATGGCCAGAACGATGCATCATCGAGAAGCTCTTTCAATGTGCATACTGCAATCGGAGTCTTGTTTCAAGACAGAGTTGAAAAAATGCAAACAACAACACAGAATGACATCAGACAAGAGCTAAAAACAACAGACAGTTTCCTGTCAGGACACACGACATCTCACCTCCTCCCTCCTCTCCTCCGACGGGCCCTTGAGCTCTCGGGCCTGGTCATCTTTGGGATCAAACAGGTAGATATAATCGGAGGAGTAGCTGACCAGCACCTCCTGACCGTCCTCGCTGTAGCACAGAGACGTCACTCTGCACGACTTGTTCGACAGGTGAGCGGGAACGAAGCGAACGCACATTCCCGTCGTTCCCCGGCCCATGTAATTACCTAAAAAAGAGGAAGAACGTGTCATTTTAGCAAGTGACTGCATGAATGAGATTCTTAAATGTATTTGTGGGCATGCCCCTCACTATCCCTGACGTTTGATGTGAAGAATGTTTAATGTAAATGGCCTTGTTCTTGAAAATTCCTCTGCAAATAAACAACTTCAGTTTCACTCTGAGTAAAAACACAAAAGCAGTTTGAGCTACATTTTGTGTGAGAAGGATGCCCCATAAATACAGTTCATAACGTACCGCAGCTGTCACAAGAGTTTAAGAGACGCAGGATGAAGTCAAAATATTCATGGAGGCATCTAACACTAGACAGCTCCCACTGGAGCGCAGGCACAGCACAGCAGGATGGGAATAAAAACCCAAAGAAGGAAACCCCTCAGGTCTGCTTCACTACCTCCATCTGCCACCTCGACTTATAAACAACTGCTAAGAACGCTGCAGGTAACTCAGCAAGATCAAGATAAAAGGCACAGTTTGGTCGTAATTAGACACAGAAGCTCGCCACCATCGCCGGCTGCTTGTGTAGCCACGTTTTTCTCCTGATGTTGTAAAGCATAGGAGTAAATCCACCGTATGTCAACGAATGTAAAGAAAGCAGAGTGAATGATGAACAGTTTACCCGTCGCTCTGGTGCCCAGCATGCGTCTGTCGTAGATTCGCACTGAGCTGTCGGAGCAGCCGACGGCCAGATAGTACGGCACCAGCGGAGAGATTGATATGGAGGTCGCTGCTCTTCGGCAGTTTATCAGGATGTCCTGAAATCGAAGCAAACAATATGAAGTTATTTATGGTCAGTAGCAGGAGAGGTTGCATTTTGAGAAAAAAAAACTGTGTGTATATAATCATAATATACACCCTGTTGGTGATACATGAGGTCCACCTGCCTGAAATGAAGGTAATCTATTACCACAGTCCTGCAATAAATCCTAGATTTATCTTTATCATGTTGAGTTTTTGTAAAATTGTTTCAGTGACATGTAGATTCACTTTTAGCCATTTTTAAGGCCGCAGTTTGTGCTGCTGTTGGATCACGTTGCATCATCTAGAAAGGTGTTTTGTCACTTCATCCACCAAACTAGAAGTAACACGGTTCTGTATTTAGATTAAAGCATCAGGACCTGTATTCAGTTGCATTCACAAATCGAATAGGCAGTAATCAGAATACAGCGACATTGTTCGAACCAAAAATGACATTATTGTGATGCTTTTCAAGTCTGCTTTATTTCCTGTGAAATTTAAAAATAGTTGTGGTTGTTGCTTGTGCTACCTGCTGAGCTGACTTACTGACCGATTGCAGACTGACCTGTTACTATTGTTGGCATTAGAGCTGCGATGCTAAGCCTGTCTAGCGCACAAACAAATTACAAGGTGGAGACAAGACATTTTGCATGATGTGTCCAACTGTTTCTATTCAACTGCACATCTGAATGTCTGGAAACTTTCAATCAACTGTTTGAGAACTGCAACCTTTCAGCCGCTCTGTGCAGCATTTATGTGTTTTCTATATCACGCTGTAGGAAAATACAAAAGGTTAAAAGAAAGGGGGAAAAAAAGCCCTTTCTGGTGCCATTTCAATTTCAAGAGGTTTGGTTGCAACTAAAAAAGTAAAAGCAAATTTCTATGAAACTGTTAAACCAGTTGTGAAAATAATGCTTTTTGCTGGACAGAACATCACCATCACAGTGAGTCATAGCTTCAGTCTATTTTAGGTGGTAGTATGTGTGAATGCTCTATTCATTCACAGTGCTACATGCAAAAATAACGTAAGGCAAGTTACAAATTACAAACTTTTCAGGCCTCAATCCACAAAAAAGCAGTGACAGAGACTCAGGACCCCTCCACAACCCCTGGAGGTGCTTCAAGTATACAAATCATGCCACTCAAATAGACTGATCCAAACATGAAAAAATGAAAACACAAAAAAACACAACAGCCTAGAATATTATTTTAGAATCATTTAATATAAGCTAGTAGCAAAATAGATCAGCGTGATCTCCGTGAATAAACTGCAGGCTCGTACTGCGTAAATGTGCAGCATGAACGAGCAGCAGACTCCTTTTTTTATCTTTTGTAAATCTGTGGCCAAGTATTTCTAATCACTTTCAAACTTCGACACCCACCGCTGTAATCTGTAGCGACATTAAAAGTAACTCTCCCAACACCGCATACAGATGAATCAACACCTCTTCTCCAACTGTTTCCACAAAAACGGAACACTGCAGCCTTCGTTATAATCGCATATTTGCTGTATTAGACTGTATTAGTTTGAACTGGGTGTGTCTGACAAACTGGCGCCTGAGTGGGGACACAAGGACAGTCGTGCTGCATCTGCATATCTACATCTGAGCAATTCAGACAGATGATAGAAAGTCCACTCGTAATGCCAACAGGTTGAAGGATTACGAGTTGGGGGTGGGGGGGTGGCGGTGACACGTCTGCTAAAACGATTCTGACAGTTTTAAGGTCACAGGTTCTGATCTGGGGCGTGACATACGAGAAGCTGCAACACAATCTAGGAGGGCACAGTTTCTCTCTCTCTCTCACAAACACACATCCATCACAAGAAGCCGCCTGGCCTCACGCCAAGAGAACTGTTTTCTGAATTACTCCAGAGGCAGAGAGCTGTTTGTGAAGGTAGCAGGGCTCATAAAGGAAGGAGGACTCCTCAGAACATCATCAAAACCAACGTTCTAGTGAGAATGTAATGACAGAGCACAAAAACAATGAATATTCTGGCTCGTAAATATTAAGTTAGACCATTTTTACTTTAAAAAAAAAGAGCTTGCGGTACTATCCACTACACCTTTTAAAGAACTTAAGGTCAAGCCCAATAACCTGCCAGTTTTTCACTCAACAAAGATAATCCCCCCAATCGATCCCTCCTAGAGCAGGATAAATCACCGACTGCAAGCAGAAAAATAATCACAGCTGTCACCGTACATCTTTGCAGTCTTCTTTAGTGCAGCTAGTTTTCATGCGAAGGTCAAACCATCGCACCGTGCCGTCCTCCCCACAGGACAGGAACGTGTAGGGGTCATTTGGTACAGTCATAATCTGCCGAAACAAAGCAAAAAGGTTAGAAGACAGAGAAGAAGGAGAACGATGAGATGTTTCCACAGCACTGCAGCTGTGAGATGTTGCTCAGCACCTCGTAAGCTGTTCCATAATGGCAGGTGAACTGACACTGTCTGTTGTACTCGGGACTCTTCTCGGTGTGGGTGTAGTAGATGATGCCGTCTCCGGAGCACGAGACGATTTCCTGATCGTTGGTGTGGGGCATGAACTTTGCGCTGAAGATGTTTGCCCGGTGACCTGAACGTATGGACTTCTTGACCTGAAGGAGAGACGAACAAACTCATGACAACTGCTGGAAAGAAGAAATCTCAACAGAAAGGCAAGTGTAAAAATTACAGTTTTTACACTTTGTTTTTTTTTAACCAGTGAAATATAAAAGTTTGGACATGTTAATTTGGAATTTGGAGAGAGATTTGTAATCTTTCAGCATTGCCAGGCTGCAGTTTTACCTTGTTTGGAGCCTTTTTTCAAAGTTAAGCTAATTGGCTGATAACTACCAATATATCGTACCAATATACGAGGTGTGTCAGAAAATTTCCAGGACTGATGTCACAAAAGATATATTTCAAGCCCCAAAGTTTTCCCCTTCAGACGATCAACCAGCACGTCTACAAAGAGATCCTGCAGCATTTGCTTTGTTCAGTGCGCAAGAAAAGGCGAGAGTTGTGGCAGGACAAGTCGTGACTGCTTCACCGTGACAACACGCCTGCTCACAATGCCCTGAGCATCTCACAGTTCCTGGCTGAGAAGAACATCGCCGTGCTGCAGCAACCTCCCTACTCACCCCACCTGCCTCCGTGGGATTTTTTCCTCCTCCCCGAGCTCAAGGGGATCATCAAGGGGACCCATTTTGAAGACGTGGACGACATCAAGATGGCTGTGACGATGGAGCTGCGGAGGATCCTGGAAGAATCCTTCCAGGAGTGCATGGCGGTGTGACAGAGAAGGCTGGGAATGTGGGTTAAACTCCAGAGGGATTACTTGGAAGGGGAAAACTTGTAGTTTGTAGTTTGGATTTGAAATATATCTTTTGTGACACCAGTCCTGGAACTTTTCTGACACACCTCGTATAAGACGCAAGAGAAAGCAAAAAAGCAAATTTCCCAAAATGTGCAACTTTTTTTGGATCGCATTACACCTAAACACACACTTAAATTCACTTAAACGTATAAAACATTTTCATCCTGCAGTCATTTTATTATTGTGTCCTGCAGCAGTCCTGGTATTTAACAAACGCACAAAACTGCTGGTGTGTTTTTGCTTGAAAACATCATCAAAATCATGAACACATAATGTGATTATTTTGCTGGTTTTAGCCACTGCAGTGCTGCTTCTCAGTTTAATTAGTTTCAAGGAAACCAGTATTGATTTCAGACCTCATAACGTGGGAACACTGGCTGACCTCAAACAAGACTTCGAGCAAAAGACGCTGTAGAGTCTCTCAGATGACTGAGCACACTTGTCAGTAGTGTTTTTGCTGCCTGGTTCGCTGTTTTTCTTTTCCACTATAAAGTCATTTTGATAATATTTCTGAAATGCTTTCACTGCAACTTGGTCTCCTGCTACTTTTACAATAATAAAACCTGCATCATGTCTATTTGAGTGAGCTCTCAAGCTCCTGGATAATAAAACAAAAAAGCGTCTGCCGCTCCTATATGCTCTCTACATATGGTTTCCTGCTGGGAAAATCTTATTAAATTTCACAGTGTTCTAGCGCCTATTTCCCAGATTCATACTTGAGAAAATCTTGTGGACAGATTAACCACATCCAGTATAAGATGGGATGAAAAACCCTCTAGACAGGCAGTCTCACTATTCTTCAACACGCTTCAAATAAATGTGTGAGACGCTGATTATTACCATTCCTTTGCATGCGATCTGAAACCCTGATTGAAAGGCAGCCAGGTTTTTGTTTGTGTTTATAAGTGTCCCTTCTGGTTTTATCTCTGTCATCTGTAATGTAATCAGGGTTTTATGTGGTCATGTTTTACCTGCCAGCGCTAACTGTCTGCTCAGTGGTGTCTCATATCAAATGTCTGCACTGTACATGCTTTACTTTGCTGCCTACCCTGTTGTAACGGCTGATTTAATGCCTGACAAAGAGACAACGACTGAAATGCAACACCGGCACGTCCACAGTGATGTCGATTAATGCAAACTGTCTCCCCCAATAAAAAAGCTACAAGTAGTCACAAGTCACGATATCTTCTTTTGTCGCTCCTGTATAAATGATTGCAGATATATTTAAAGTGGAATTTCATATAAAAGCTGCCCTGATTGTGACCTACCTTTTTGTTGTACGGGTTGGTGATGACCAAAAACGTGTCGTCTGACCCCGACAGGATGTATTCACCTGTGTCGTTCCAGGATATAGTGTTGACCTGAAGGGAGACAAAAAAACAGACACATTATGTACTTTGTGGTTTACATGTGAGCTCAGTCCAGTGAGTGAATAATCAATTAGTGGAGCGGCAGGAAATTAAAAAGCACGTCATTTATTTAAGCAGAATTCCTCATTGCTTGCAGCTTCTCAAATGTGAGGACTTGCTGAATTTCTTCATCTCATATCATCGGAGGCTTATACAAAAATACACAGCAAACATGTCAGGTTGTGATCTGGGAAGAAACGACAAGAATCTTCACAATTTTTCATAGACTAAACAAGTGATTCTCAGCTTGGATGTTTCCCAGAAGACGATGGAAGATGAATGTTCATGATTATCAGCGGAGGAAATAGGAAAACAACAATTCTCTCCACCTCTTTTTTCTCTCCAATTTGTTCTAGTATGAAATAAGAAAATCAACTGATTGGTGTTTTAGGGGTCAAAAAGCAAGAAAGTTCAGAAATAGCTGGTAAATAATAAACCCAAAAAGTGATGATAAAAATCAGTAGTTGTAGCTTAAATATTACAGAAGAAAACTGGTGCAAAATTCTGAAAATGGAGAACATTTTAGAGCACAGACTAAATCGTTTTTAGTAAATGTGTGCTGTATTGTTTTTAGCTGCTCAAAAAGCACTTTGACATTAAGAAAATTCTGATTTTATTGTCCACTATTAAGTAACAGACAACAGAGAATTGAAGAAACAAGAAAATATTCAAATTGAGGAAGCTGGAATCGGAAAATGTCAAATTTTTTTCTTAGAAATTTACTCAAACCTATCAAACAATTATCAAAATATCTGACAAATAATGAAACAGTTGACATCTAATTGATCAATCACTTCAGCTCTTCTATGAAGCATCTTCAAACGCCTTGTTGTGGCCTGATAACAGTCCAAAATCACTAAACTCTATATACTTTGCATGATCTCTTTGTGCATCACTATGTAAAGATGCAAACATTTAGGACCTGGGAACCATCACAATCTGGCATTTTCCACTTTCAGTTCACTATCAAACTGTGCTCACAGTTAACTGGACGGTGGATCAAAAACAGAGCATCGGTTCACGGTTCGCTGTCACTCTGTGGATCGATATTTCATCAACACCTACAGCTTCGCTCAGGGTTTCATCATCACAGACTCAATCAGAGATATTACACCGGGCGAGCTCGATCCAAAGTGTTTACTGTGTCTGTCCTTTTACTGCGTGCTGCAAACTGAACTCAACTCAGATAACACATTCTGCCTCTCTCGTCTAACGGAGGATTCACAGCCAGTGACGCGCAGGTTCAGATGATGTATTTATTATGAGGCCATATTTTAAACACAGGTCTGAGCAGCTTGTGTAATATGTATGTAAATGTGAAAGCTCAACAGGCCGGACGCTGCACAGTCTTTAAAGAATCTTCTGTTAATCTGTCTTTCTTTGATCACTTACACAACATCACTACTTCTGCTTTTACTAATTTCGCAGCTCTTTGCTGAACACTGTTACTCAGAAACTTCCTCACAGCTGATCTGAGTGAGAAGCTGCAGTTTATTTACAGAAAAAAGTGCAATAAGGAAGTCTGTCCATTTATAGTTGGTGTATCTTGCAATATTCTAAGAAACAGATGCTCAGTTGTGTCTTCACCTACACTATAGGAAAATATAAAAATGTAACTAAAGATTGTTTTTATTATAAATCGACCTGCCAACCACTTCCTGGATTAATCATTCTGTCTACAAAGCAGGGCTGCAAGTGACAAATATTTCCTGTGTTGATTAATCAGGTGATTATTTTCTCGACTGATTGATGAGTTGTTTGATCTATAAAATGTCAGAAAATGGTACAAACTGATCATCAGTGTTCCCTGAAGCCCAAGATGACGCATTTAAACGTCTTGTTTTGGGCACAACCCAAAGATATTTACTTTACTGTGACAGAGGAGTAAAGAAGCCAGAAAATATTCACAATTTAAAAAGCTGGAATAAGAAAACGTCGCCCTTTAGTCTTAGAAAATGACCAAACTAATTAACAGGTTATCAAAGTAGTTGGCAATTAATTTAATAGCTGAGAAGTTATTGATTTATCACTGCAGCTCTGCTATAAAGAATCATCAAATGCCTTGTTGTGGTCGAATAACAGTCCAAAATCAAAGACAGTGAACTTTATATAATTCATATTATCTCTCTGCACGTCACTGTGTATAGAAACTTAACAATTAAGAGCTGTGAACCATCAAAATTTGGCATTTTTGCTGTACAAATTATCTAATGATCAGTAACCACAATAGCTGCTGATTAACTGTCTGCTTAAAAATTCAAATGATCATTGTCCCTTCCTCTGAAATTCCAAGGTGAATGTTGTCAATGTAAATTTCAAAAACTATTCTTTCATCTTAAAATGCGCAGTAAACCAAATAATTTCCCACATCGGAGCCAAAAAGTGCAAAAGAATCTTTCAGATTTTGATACCACAAGAACCCAGATCAATTCTAACCTGCTGCCTCCTTTTTTCTTCTTTTACCTACAAGCACATTCAGCAGTGACAAACGGTCAGATGTCTACTAGCAGAGAGCAACAGGATAGTTAATACTCTGCAGTGTCTATAAAATATGACTCCCAGGTTGAAGCGTATACAGATAAATATACCTTCAGGTCAGAGAATATTGATTAACCTGTTGTTTATTTTCTCCAGTTAATAGACTATTAACTAAGGAAAATAGTTTGTATTGATGTGCCCTGATTGTGTCGGCTTGCCGTTTGTTTTGTTGTCTGATTATGAATGTCAGGTCTCTTATGGGAAAAAAAAGAGATCTCAGTTGATATTATCATCAGTTTAAAGCGATAACTGAATAAAAATGCTGCGTCTAAAAACACCTTGATCAGAATGAACTGGCCGACACTAACTGAAATGTGAATCAGCTGCAGAGGATAGTTCAAACCTTTTTTTTTTTTAATAAACCGATCAAATGAAAAGTTGTACCATGCAGCCGTCTAATAGGATTACTTCCTGGCTGCGTTCTGTGTGTGCACGCCTGATGCCCTTGGTCTTGATGTAAATGTGCGGAGACGTACATCTCCAAAAATGGCAGCTTCTGCGCTAAACTGGTTCTCAGTGGAGAGTTTGTTTTTAATGCAAAGTCCTGAAGAACTGCAAATTTTTCTACGTCTAGACAGTAGAAAAATAAGAACTAATGACCTACTGAAGCAGATGTTGATTGAGACAAATGCAAGACGTTCTTGTGCGTCACACGGCGGTTAGATGTTAAATGTTACAAAGAAATTAGAACGAAATGACAACAGTTGACACAAAATCTTCAAGCAGAATGAAAAAAAACATGTAACAGCAGCTACTGAGAGTCACTATGAGATAAAGACTTAATTATATTAGGTATGAGCTATGCAACACGTTACTTAAGAAAACATTGTTGGTTAGTTTCTTTTAAGTGTCAAATAATTTTACTGAGCTGGGCTTCTACAGTCGATAAATAAACATACTCTGTGGTGGACAAACTAGACAACAACGAGGCTATCTTAGAATGCATCTTTGACATTTCTGTACCTCAGTTTCTTGTCATTAAGCAGACCATATGCATGCCAATACCAAACTTGCTGCAGTGCACCAATTTCGGCCACAAAAAATGTCTAGTAGATCTCGCCAGAAGGGACACCTTATATAATATTATATTAGAATAATTCATATTCACTCATCAAGAGAAGAGCTGCAGATTTTAGATGCTGTCAACAGAAAATAATATTACAAATTGTTTTTACATGAAAAATGAATCAATATTAACTGAAACTGTCTTTAAAATGAATGCCTGACATACAGAGTGCTTCCACATAATCTCTTAGCTTCTCTATACCATAATTAAGAATATATTCATAAAATACAATAAAACCATTTTAGATCAGTAGTTTCTGGTGAGAAAAGCGCGTCTCTGTGCAGCCTGGTCTGCGGTTGTTGTGGTGTTTTGGCCGGACTGACGTTCTGGCCGATAGTGTGACAGGACGTGTGACTGTTGTGTCAGCTTCAGGTTTCTCACAGGCATTAACCACCTGACCTGCAGTCAAAGATCTGCCCCGGGGCTTCACCAGCCGGCTGAGGCTGAGGGAAAAACTGAACTACTGAAAAGAAAGAAGAAGCAGATTTTAAATGGGAAAAAAAAAAAAAAAAGTGGGGGTACTTACGCAGCCATCGTGTACATTCAGTGTCGCTTCAAGTTTAAGCCTCTGGACAAATTCTCTTCTACCTGTGAGAAGAGAAATATGCACATTTTAAAAGGGTATAGAGTTTTTATGCTTCATGCTCCATCCTCGCCATGCATCCATCTTCACTTGAGTTAAGTGCAATAGGAGTGTAGGCTGGAATAAAATGTCACATTAAACATTCGTATTCAGTATTTCCGTAGCTTGTGCTGTATTATTCATTTAGTGGAAACTTTGCTTACACCAACAGAAACAAAAGCTCCGGCACCACCGATGCTGCTCCACAACGTGACGATACATAAAGAAAAAGCAGTCTGATAGCTCACACTTCTTATAGCCGGCAGCACTTAGTGTACAAGTGTCATCAGTAAGACATTCAGGTTTGATTGAAGATCATTGTTCATCTTTGTGCTGTACCTGAAGGACTGATGTCAGATACCCTGGAGGTGAAAGTTAGCTAGCAACACAAACCAACTGTACTTTCATTAAATCCTCATATTCTGTCAAAGGAGGAGCTTCAGGGCGATCTCTTGTTTAAGCTGTGATTTTTGCAGATTTATGCCTTTTTACTCGTCCCAAGTGATGACAAAGAACCGTGACACATATCTGTTGACACCTGCTGGTATTAAAGGATCTACAGTCGTCCTCAAATGTATTCATATCCTCCCATTAAAGACACTGACATAAGTTGAAATTGACAAAAGTAATAATAAATAAAAATGTAATGAAAAACACTACATTGTTTTAGAATTGTGGTTTGAACAACACTTTGAGCCAATCACTGCAATCAAGTGTTTTCTGTAACTCTCAATCAGACTTCTGCACCTGTTGACAGCTATCTTGATTTTGGTCCACTGCTCATCAGCAAAGTGCTCTAATTTGTCCAGGACGGTTTTGGTTTTTTTTAATTATTCTTTTCAACCACGATTCAAAAGCAATGTCTTATTTCACTAAAGTATAATTTAGCAAATTTTTATTTATTATTACTTTTTTCAGTTTCTAGTTATTTGAGTGATTATTGTGAATTTTGCCTTTTCTTTAATGGAAGAACACATTTGAGGATGACTGTAAGTGATGTGTTTACATGCATCCTAGTATCCCAGTTTTCAGCCATTTGCAGTTTTTTTTGTGCAGCCATGTCTTGATTTCTCACCATCCTAACCCTTCTGTAAACAAAGAATAACCAGAAACCTGTCTAAGGTGTTCCCACATCACAGCGTCGTAGCTTCTGTCAGCGTAATCCAATATTTAATAACGGGAATCTTATCATTTATTAGTCCATGTGTTGTAAAAGCAGTAAATCTATGCAGCAGCGCACACAACAAAATTACTATTTATCTCTTGTACATATGCACAGCTGTGCACTGTGAGCGGGAATACATTTTAAAAGCTCGATATGGCCGATCAGACAAATTTACATAAGTGCACAACCTGAATAAAACATACACGGTAAAGCACTTATACTTCAGGGGCCCTGGTTGCATACATGTTGCAGCCAAATTAAAACGAGGAAAAAGTCAAGTCACCATTATTTATACAGCCCGTTTAAAACAACATCCATTGGGCCAAAGTGCTTTCCAGTAATAAAAGAATATGATTGCTGTTATAAATTAACCTAACAAGTTAAATATTGCATTAAGACCCTGTCGTGTTGTTTATGATGTGAAGCCACATGAGTAATTTACAGATTTATGATTTAAACCCTACAACACTTATATAAAATACTACTTAACCCGTCTATATTTATATATTACGGCTAAGACCTCAAGTGTTATTAATTACAGGGGCTAACCAAAATAACTTAAATACAAGGCTAAACCCGACAGCATTAATATCTATGAAGATTAATCTAAGATTGAACTAAAGTTATGACACGACAAAAATATACATGACTCAACAAATCCATGGATTCCCCAAGAGCAAGCTTTGTTTTGTACTTTTCTGTACAGTACATTGTTTTATTTGTGTCTCTGTATAAAAGAGAGAAAATTAATCAATTTTTAATGCACTTTACATTTAAAATATTAGTATTCAAGAACATGTCCTAAATCTATGTTGCACAACACGCCTATGCAGTTTTTGTGTTGTAGTTGGTAAAAGTGGTAAAAATTCATCATGCAGACTAAAGAAACTGAGAAAAACAACATCCTCTGAGTGTGCTGTTGACACATTTCTGCCACCGTGCAAAACATGAAGCCCACAAACCAACGAGCTCACAGCCGCTATGAGCTAGACTGTGAAATGTTCTGTACATTTTAAAAAACAAAAGTTTGCTTTTTGCTCAACTTCACTGGCAGTGTTGTATAAAGCTGCAGTTTGCACATTAATATATAATTTCCTGTTGTAGTGAAATGTTGAAATGTGTTGATTTGTTGCGTACAGAATGTAAAATCTGCTATAACTACATATTAATACAGCTGGAACTGGGAGGCTGCAGTTGTCGCCGCCAGTAGAAAGGTCTAGACTGCAAAGACATTCTAATTGTAAGGATTAAACAGCTGCTTTCTTTCATTCTATGTAGGAATGTGGTTTTTCTACATTGACAAAATGTAATCAGTTGTGAAAGTTTGGTGCCGTATATTCAAATGAGAGCTTTGACTTGCACTGGCAGGTTTTATGGGTGTTGCAGCAGTCTGCAAGTGATTCACGTAAATAGCAGTCAAAGCTTCTCTGAGACATCCTCGACTACAAGAACCGTCACGCTACGTATGAAAGGCTCCTGATGTGAATCTAATATCGCTGCTGTGGTCGTAACTGGACTGATCAGAAAAGGTGACTTCCTTCTGAAATGCTGGGATTTGTTGATTGTTCACCAGAACAAGTTTTCAAAACTTTTTTTTAAAGCTTAAAAAATACATTCTGGCACCCTTTTCACAGTCAGTTTTTGTTTTGTTGTTATATTTATTCCTCACCGTTTCATTTTTTCACTGCAATATAAAGTCCTGCACCTCTATGGAAACAGCACAACCATGGATGGAGGTAGAGAGAACTCAGAAATGTCTTCTGTGCAGTGTGGCTCAGTTACAATGCCATAAAAAGTTGAATTTGTTCAATTACTTATTTTACAAAAAAAGAAAAACTTGAATCAACATGTGAAACATTTTTCAGAGAACCCACAGGTGCTACCAATACTGGGAAAAATAATGATGTCTCTACATACTACAGATGTTTTACTGGTTTTACTGCTTGTCTCCTGTCTGTTCTGTATAAACACAGTTCAGCTGAAAAGTTTATGAAATATTGTCACGTGACTGTTGGTCGCCGCCGAGTCATTAACGGCTTCTGACGAGGAGTGCAGAATTCTTCATTTTCTTAAGTCGAGTTAGAGCAAATGGATAATTTTTTGCTAATTTTTCAAATTAATGACGTAATTTTGATAAAGCATCACATTTTAAGCTTAGGTTTGGTCCACAGCAGGTCACAGACGAGTACTTCAAGGATTCTTACAAAGTTGGAAATCTGATGAATATTTCTGTTTTAATGGTGTAATTTTGGGTATTTCTTAAAGATAAAATGTCTTTTGTAACTCTTGTCGGGTTCTGGGGTTCAGAGGGTTAAACAATAAAAACCCTCCCATGGCCGTCATGGACACATTGACCAATTAGGGAAAAAAAGGAATTTGTCAGCTTAAGTTGCTATACATTCTTCGGATGAACTTTCCAGCAACTAACGTTCCCGTCTTCAGTGTTCAAGATTGTTGTAATTAAATGTAGTACTTTTTAATGACCTGTTCTTATTTTGTATTAAAATGGGATCTTGTCTTTTATGTGCTGTAGAAGTGGAACCAGTTTTATAAGAGTCAGGCCAATTTAAATGTAACACATTTAATACCACGTTTATTATTTATGTGTATAATAATCAAATGAAAAAACACTTTAAAGTCTTCCTTGATGGAGCTGAATTTTCAAGACCTGACAATAAATGTACTATTTGTGTTAAGTTTTGGGTTTAAAAAAATACAGATTTGAAACATGTTTGTGAAAGATGTGCAGCTGAACGTTGATGTATGAGCTGTGAAATGTAATTTTTTTGACTATCAATTCATTTTTTTTCAACTGTTTGTTTACAAGAGCCAGAAAACTGTGACAAACAAAACAAAATATGTACAGCAGCATCCACTGGTAATAAACCCTACGATAGAGAGGAATTTTCCTTTAACCTCGGTGGATGTTTCAGCTGAATGTAAACCCCGACTTGTTACCTCCCACCCTTCTTGAAGCTAAATATATCCTGCAGGAGCTGTGACCCCCACATCTCTGCATGCATCCTGTCCCCCGTACACAATAACTGCTCTGACGATATCTCAGTCATGCTATAAACAGCACTGACTAAACCTCCGAGGCACCTGCCTCATGTCTACGGGCCTATAAATCTTCATTCAACCACTGTGTGGTGCGGTGCTGACTGTTTGACAGGACACACTGCACACACAAGTCTATATTAGAAACCTTTCTGTCTTTCAGTGGGCCAGCGGCCGTGCCCTCTGTCACTGTTGTTTTTCTGCACTGTTCTCTCACAAAAAACAAAGATAAATGACAGTGTCGACAGTAAAACTGAGAATTTTCCATTTGCAGCTTTCCCCTGGTTGACTAACCAAACCGCAAGGTAGATATGAGACGTGATTTAAAAGAAATGAAACTGTTAACCACATGAAACGGCCACATTTACAGACTGAGACTGAGAATCCGTGAGAATGCAAAACAAGCCAACAAAAAGTTCAACGAACAAGATACAGAGGTATATTATTTACAAAGAATAAAACATAACATAAAAAAATATCTAAATTATACATGAGAGTAAAAATATCAGCAGCTCCAGTGCAGTGCAGGATATGAATAAATTGTCCCCAATTTAAATTCATTAAATGCAGCAGCCAAACAGAAAAGCCTTAATCCCTGATGAACAAGTTTTCTGGGAGTTTGTTCCAGAAATGTGCAGTATACTATTTTTTTTTAAAGTGTTGCCTCTAATCAGCATGTTGGGTTTGACTGCGGAGACACTGAGCAGACCACCTGAGAGCTCTGCAGTCTGTGGACAAGTGCTCTTATCGATAAGACGACGATGACACAGTGCAGCGCTGCAACACAAATATGTTAATGAATGGAAAATAAATGTGGTTGGGATTGTTTTTGTTTTCTACAAATGTGTTTAAAAAGGCATCGGGGCTGAGAGCCGTTACTCTTGTGAAGTGTAGAGCTGAAGCCCTATTTTGTTCCAAGTGGGAATATTTATTTCAAAAATAAATACGATATAAAAGTATTTCCAGATAGTGGCTTGATGCATTGTGCAATTAGTCGACTATTCTTGTAACTATTTTCATGTAAAATATTGATTTTTGTTTGTGCTGATTTACTGTTTTTTGTTCTTTAAGGTGGTTTCCAGCTTGGACATGGGACCATTAAGTACAGCCACCTTTTAAACAATCAATGGAGCCTTCAAGGGACCTAATATTATTGATAAATGCTCTTGTTTATATGCAATGGAACAAATAATAAATATCTTTAGTGACAAGTTGAATACATAGCAGTGCTGTTATAAGCGCTATGTGCTTTTGTTTTTCATTATTCTGTTTTTTAATGAGAAAAATTTGCACAGATGAAACATGTTTCCCTGCAGTCATTTCCATTTCTGCCACTTCAGCTACTTTTGACAGTTTATGGCTAAATTCCATGTGGCACATCTGTTTCTGTGAGCCTCTTTTAACGGATGATACTGTGAGAACTGTCTTGCACAGTTTCGTATCTACTCTGGAAAGACTTCTGCAAAACTGAAAGCACTTTATAATGCATTTGGCTTTCATAAACACATTACATGATTGATCCGGGCTTTGAGTGCATTACTTCTGCCAAATCATACTTCAGTTACATGTGTGTGTGTGTGGTGGTGCTGATGACTGATTTCCTGTACAATCTATGGCACAATCTTGTGATTGCACTGAAATTGCATCTATTCTGCAATTCATTTGCACAATAATTCGGAAGAGGAGATAAATATGATCTATAACCTCGAAGCCTAGAGAGCTGCTCTGTTGAGGATTACACATAATCCCATCTATTGAGTGTTTCAAAGCACCGGATCTGCTCTTTTACAGAATAAATTAAATGTAGAGGCGGTCGCTGCTGTGTTTACACTGACTGTGCAGAGGGAGAAGCTGCAGCTCAGTGTTATGAAGCAGGTAGTCTGATGGCCTGAGGCACAGTCATGCTGCCAGTTCATCTGATTCAGCAGCACAAACACAGTCTGCAGGTTGTTTATCTGCCACACTCGGTGTTAAATTAATACCTGTTTTTGTCACACATGTCAGCGTTAGCTTTAAACGGGCTTGTTTTTCTTCTTACCTAAATAGTTGGTCCTGATGGTGTTCGGCTCGTTGTATCCAATTAAGCGTTTATTTACATCCCAAACCAGGTTGCCAGAGCAGGACATCGTGACCAAATCTGTTTTTTAATTGACAATAACATTGAAACTAAGCTAACCCCTTCTCCCGGTGATGTCGCCTTTTATCTATCGTCGGTTTTCCATGGAGCTCGGTCCCTGTGTGTCGGGACGGGGCTGACGTTAGCTGGCGGCGGCACTCGGCGTTAGCATTGCTGGAAGTGAAAGACTCGCAGCTGTCTGGTCTCCGCCGTCCTCCCGAGTTTAGCCCGACTGCGTCCCTGCTCTCCGGGCTGCTAACTATCTGACCTGCTAGCCTAGCCTGGTTTATTTCTTCTAGCGGACAGCGGTCAGCTGTGTCGAAACAACGCGAGACGTTGCGGGATTTGAGTGAGAAAAGTAGGAGCGCTTGTTTTGGGAAGCCCGGAAGCTGTCGGAGAGGAGTGTGTGCAGGGAAGCTGGTTCCAGTTTTTACTTTGTATTCTCATTATCAGCCAGAGTGGCTCCAGTTTTGTTTAATATTCAACAGTCTTTTATGAATTTGAAAACTGTGCTTTAGTAATAAAATTGTAAAAAATATAAATAAATAAATAAAAAAAAAGCTTGGGGGTGTTTTGTTTAAAAAGAAAAAAAATCATGAACTCAAACTTGTGAAAACTTGGAAAAACATTTCCAGTATTATAATTTTTTTGGGGTTTGTTTTGTTTTTTCTGTTTTTGCTTACTTGTTTTGTTTTGTTTTTTGTTTCAGTAATGTGTCCTACTGAAATAATGTATCCTGAACAATATTTGGCAAAATAATTTCCTTTAGACAAAAAAAACAAACAAACAAAAAAATCTTTTGCCTTATGTTATCACCAAACATAAATTGATTCCTTACATTACTATCTTTTGTCCTCCTGGCCATTCATCTCGACAACGCCTCACCATAACAGTAGGGGGATTCACTTTTACATTGATAGACATTTTCAGTACATCTACAACAATATATTTGCACTATAAGGGTTCTGCACAGGATCACTTTAAGATATCTTATTTTTTGCACTACAGTATTATTCAGTCTACTCAGTACTAGTATGTGCTGATTACCTCTCTGCTGTATGCATACCACAATATTTTCACTGCATTGCACTCTTCAGCATTACATTCTATTTTTCTGTATGACTGTGTTTTATCTTGACTGTTAAGTTAAAAATGCATGACTTTCCCTTGGGATTTTCAAAGTATCTATCTATCTTGTTCTTTCTATTAGTATTTTACACCCCTGACATTGTTTTAACCCTATTCAGGACTTTCATGTTGCCATACGTAGGTCTTTCAGGGTCCATTGGACCCCAAGAAAGAATATCTGCAAAATATTTGTTGGTATTCATTATAGACTTTTATACTATGTTAGATACATTTTCTGATAAGTTGATGTATTTTTGGTTCCAAACGCATGACAAATGTTCCTTTTTTTTTTATATATATATAGAAAAAAAATCTTCAAAAATAAAAAAGCAATACTTGTCACCTAAACCAAATGGCCTGGGGTCCAAAAGACCCCAAAAGTCCTGAATAGAGTTAAATGGGCTTAACTCAAGACAATAAATGGTGGAAATGCAACATGAAAGGGATATGTTTCAGCACGCTTTCTGGGATTGTCCCCTGATATTGAATCCTTGGAAAGACGTACAGAAAAACTTGAAGAACGGCTCAAACAAAGTCAAGAATTCCCATGGTCATGTCTGTTATAGGGATAAATCTCTCAGGCGCACTAAGACAGAGTTTTGGCTGACTGCAGAAGCATTTATAGCGGCGTCCAGGATTGCTCTCAGTAATTGGCATTGGAAGAACTTTGCTAATCTAAGATTAGAAGAGCTCTTCTTAATTAACATTAAGCAAATCAAATTAACAGGTGGTGACTTCTGTGTTTACACCAGGCGATTTGGACTTTGCAGAATGAGTAGCAGCTCTCTGTTTAGTAGTGGGTTTGGAAAATGACCATTTGGTTGAAATTCAGCTTTGTATAGATCCTAGCCACTACTTATCCATTGCTTAAAAACAAACAAACAAACAAACAAACAAACAAACAAACAAAAACAGGGAGTTTAACACTTGCTACTGTTTTGTAGACTTTTCCACAGTCTTTACAAACTGAACTGGATTAACCTGTTAAGAGGCCCCTCAGGCAAAATGTATATGTCATTTGGAACTACTTGACTTGATATTTTTCACAAGTGGTGAAATTTTGCAATATCTATAGCAACTTTGTAACAGCAAATTCTTTTCATTACATAATTTATACAATATAATATCGACATTATATCTTAGATAATGACAATAAAGTATCAATATGATTTATAAAATCATTCTAATATTATACTGTGTTGATGTTATATATTGATATTGACGGTATCTGACATATATGATATCAATATATTATTGATACTACATATTTTATGTTAAAGGATTTGTACAATAATATATGTTTTATATTTGTACGTTTATTTAACATGCAAGATGTATGTTTTTCTTTTGACACATGAGCAAATAAACTAATAAATCAGCATTGAAAATAAATAAATCAACGAGTCAGCAAGTTTTTAAACATTGTCTTTAAATCAGTCTTTTTGTCTTTAAAAATCTATCGTTATATATGTGGTGCCACATTACTCTTGTTTTCTAGTTTATCTCCACCAAGTTGGGAGACTCTGGACAGGAAGATAAACACTCCTCTGTTATCCAATCATATCAGGGCTCTGATCAGGCGAACCAATGAGAATAGCGGAAACCTTTAACCCCGCCCCTCTCGCGGTAGGTTGCGCCACACAGAAGAAAGTCACCTCGTCGTGTGGGTCAGAGAGAAGCTACTGACAGCTAGCAACGCTAGCTTAGTCACAGAGCCGCCGGGAGAAGGTCGACAGTAGGACAGCAGCATCCTCTCCTAGCGTAAAACCTACCTGCTTTTTATTTTACATCCTACCGAGGGAAGAAGGCTTTTTAAATCCCGTAGCTTGTAAAAAAAAAAAAGACGCCTAGCGAGCTAACCGTTTAGCGAGCTAGCTTCAAGTTTCCGTGCAGTGTCCTCTTTCTATCTGAACATCCACAATCATGGCTGCGCTGAGAGCGTCCTACCACCGGATCCTGGACAGGGTCGAGCATATGCTGCCCGCCAAACTGAGACCCCTGTACAACCACCCTGCAGGTAAAGCACAGTTCGGCTTTCCCCCTAGCAGTCTGGGTCTTTGCTTATGTGTGCGGTGGCCGCAGTGGGCTGTGTGCGGCAGCTGTGTGGTGGAAGTGATGTGGATGTATCTGGACCGCATCCTCCAGGGAATAAAACACCAGCTACGGTCTAATCGTGGTGTCTGTGCTGCATGAAAGTCATTGTTTTGCTGTGCCAGTGTTGATTCTGGAGACCCTAATCTGCAGGGATAACACCAGATAAGCAGCTCAGTCTGAGCATAAGAGCTGAGTTTATTGCAGGAAAACTTTGTAGCTGTTTGCTCTGAAGCCAAAAACTGTGTTTAGTTTAATGTGGCGACAGAAGTTCAAAGGTACTGCCTTTTGTAAAATCTGAATTTACTCAACATTTCAAGCACTCATGTTATGATAATGTTAGTTTCTTATGAAATGAAATGCAAATAGAGCAGTGACTGGTCTGCTGCAGTTTTTCCCAACACAAGGTGGTCACGTGTTCGGCATGTTGACTAAACTGATACTGGAGTTCTGTCACTTGTTTAAAAAGATAGCCAACAATGAAATCAGTTGATGGGTTCAAACTGGATTGTGTCCATAATGCAGTTTCCAGTTGTTGTAATTGATGTATAAGGGAATAACCATTTTGTCCAAGAGACAGAAAAAAAATTAAAATAAATCCCACACAAGTTCTCAAACCCCAAGGTGACATTTTCATTTGTCTTGTTTTGTCCATCTAACTAAATCCATGGATGCTCAATGCAAAGTGATACAAAACTGAAAAACAGTCACACCCGAGAAGCTGGAAACAAGTATTTGACCTTCTTGTTAAGCTTCATTATTAAAGATTCATTCTTTCCCTCTACTAATCATATAATCAGCTACGTTTCAGCTCTTGTTCTGTTTTATACTTATTTGTCCCAGAGTTGTGATAGTGTTGGACATTTCACTGACTTCTACATTCCCCTTCCCTGCACTAAATCCACTGCTGTAGAAACACCTCCTAGTATAATGCACTTTATTTTAATAACTGCACTATGTAACAGTTTAACCTTCATGACAGATCTATTGCTTTATATTGCATTGGATTGTCTTTAGTACCCTTAATGAATTAACTGAATGTGTATCCTCTGTTGAATGAGAACAACTTGTACAAACATTGAGGCTGAGTGAGATTAAGGAGTCACTGGGCAATCTCCAGGCTTTGTTTTTCTGTCAAAGGGTACCAGAGCTTTACAAGTCAAGGACAACTTTATGGCCAGGTATGAAGGGGCGGCGACAAAAGCCAACTCCCTCAAAGACGATTTGCAGCGACCCACGTCCCACTTTTTGTTTAGCCTGCAGCATTGGATGGGAACGCTGACTGCAGACCAGCAGCTCTTCCTCTCAGTCCTGTTGCTCATTAAATTTGTGTGAGTCTTCTTCCAGTGAGTTGGAAGCGCTTAAGTTTCTCGTGCCTGACTGTGGTTTTGGGCTGATTTATTTAACCTTAAAAGGCCTGGAAGGAATGTCGAGTGTCTTAGGGAGAAAAGCTCTGTGAAATACAACAATATTGTGTTATTTCTAATGATATAACGTACATGAACTTTAAAGTTTTACATCTTTCAAGGGCTAGAGACATTTATTTATGTTCAATGATACAGCGTCTTGATGATCTGGTTATGGTCTGATGGTATTTTCCGTGTTTACATTGCAACACAGACACTTTAAAGCCAAGTTGGCATCAAGTTTATTGTGGTGTTTTGTGCTTGAAAGAACTTCAAAGGTAGTGCCATGAAAAAAAAAAAAAAGACAGGCCACACTTTGCCAAAGTAGTTGTCACATTGTATTGTGTGTAGTTGTTGAAGCGTGTGTAGTCATTTGTAGCTGTCCTTTTTGTTTGAATATGAAACCTTAAATAGGATCAGTTTAATGATTTTACACGTGTTTAGTGTGTTTGCTTGCTGCATGTAGACTATTACAGAGACAGTGTTGGATTTTTGAGAGGATTACTGACATTGATATTGTGAATACAAATGCAGTAGCTCTAGAACAACAGTTTTTTCCCCCCCCATAAATTATCTTTCTGACACAAATTTCTATAGAGGTATTATTGTACCAAAAACTATTTGTAAAAGTGTATGGAGAGTTGTGTGTCTATATCTCAGTCTGTGTGTGTGTAGTGAGATTTGTGAATGTGTAAAAAGATTTGTAAAAGATTTGTCAATGCGTACAAAGATATTAATAGATGAAAAGTCTAAATATTTGGCTACAAGTGCTGGAAATGCAGACAAATCACTGGTTACAAGTCAAGCAGGCCTCACCATTGTCTGTCTTTTTACACATGACTTTTGCAACACTTCTGCCATGAGAGATTCATATCAGTAAATCCAGGGTTTCTGTGTCCTGAGCTCAGGCTCACAGGCTCATTCATTCTGGCTGCGTACCGCTCTGCTGCTCTGTACCTCAGCAGTTATGCCGCCTGCAAGCCAACAGGCGATGCCATCCTCCAGTCTTTAAGGGCACGTGACATTATCTGGTATATGTGAACAAGTTAAATTTGCTGAGTTTGTGGGTCGCAAAAACTTTCATGATGGCTTGCAGGTGACATAACTACTGAGGCAGTAACCTTGAAGTTAGATACGAATCTCTCACGGCAGAAGTGTCGCAAAAGTCTTGTGTAAAAAGACAGACAATTGTGAGGCCTGCTTGACTTGTAACTGGTGATTTGTCTGTATTTCCAGCACTTGTAGCCAAATACTTTTCATCTATTAATATCTTTGTTTGCATTTACAAATCATTTTACACATTCACAAACCTCACTACAGACACACAGACTGAGATACAGACACACAACTCTTCACACACATTTACAAATAGTTTTACTACAATAATACCCCCATATGTTTCTTTTTAGTGATGAAGATCTACACAGAACAGGACATTTTACAGTATGAAAATTACTTTCTGGGGGACAAGCTATGCAAGCATGATGCTGTTTCTGAATAACCTCAAACCTAATCTGGCATTTGATCATATTAAATGCGGGAAACAGATTCCAGACCAGCAGCTTTTTATGTTTTCTCCCATTTTTCCCTCCTCTTGTTGATGAGCAAATGACACGCGCTTAATTATTTCTTAGTGTGCATCCAGTGCATTTGGACACACTGATGTGTCAACATCTGTTCACCTCAGCCTCAATCATCTGGAATTAGGATTAATTTTTGCACCCATTAGAACGTCAGTTTCCTCAGAGGGAACACCTGTGACATGAAACTAAACGGTGTAATATCCATATATTTTAAATATTTTCATAATTTTGTTTTTAGGTCCAAAAACGGTTTTCTTCTGGGCCCCAGTGTTTAAATGGGTAAGTGCAGCTTCACACAATCTAAACCCGACATAACTTAAACCTCCTTGTTGGCCTTTGAACCCCTTAAAACCTCATTTGTCTATCGTGAACTGATTTTTTTTTAAAAAGTAAAGATCAGAATAAACATTAAGTGACGGTAGAAGATATGAAGAAGTAAACCTGTCACCATTGTCTAATTGTTGGTATCATCAGTTCAAATTGATTTGTTAATCTACAGAAAGTCTAAAGCTGCTTTGATGGCATAAAGACAGTGTGGTTTCTTCTCTACAGGGTCTGGTTTTCGCTGGTTTGGCTGATATGACTCGACCAGCTGATAAACTCAGTACCTCCCAGTCTGCGGTGCTGACGGCCACAGGTGAGACGAGGCTTTAATCACATTCATCATCATGTGTCACGTTAAAACATGCATTTATTTAATCTCTGTCCAGCAGCAAGCATACGTTAATGAGCCTTTGTTCAAATTTTGGCATGCAACTTAAATAATAGTAAAAATTATACAGCTGTTGCAGTAAATGCACAAGTTTGGTTCCTACAAAATCAGCGATTAGTTACTCCCAGACATCACAGCTTGCAAAGACTTTCCATTCAGCGCTATAACTCCCTAGATTTTTAATATTTGGGATTTTCAGCTGCTCTTCTTCGCTGATCATTTCAAGTTATGAGAGATTTCTGCAGCAAACTTCAGACGTGCTGGTTTAAAGTTTTAAAAATGTGTCAACGGATTGTTTGGATTTCTTAAACTCAGCCTTGAATAAGTTTGTTTACGTTTCGGCTCAGTGTTCTGAGAGAATTTAACCAAATTGTGCTAAAGGTTGTATGACGCTTCCACTTTTGCAATATGTTTCCTCAAACACATCTTATCTTTTGCTCTTGTGCCAAAACGTAGACTCTGTTCACATGAGGACCATCAGTGTGCTTAACCTTTGCTCTTCCCGTTGTCCTCCTCCAGGGCTCATCTGGTCCAGATATTCGCTGGTCATCATCCCGAAGAACTGGAACCTGTTTGCTGTCAACTTCTTTGTCGGCAGCGCGGGAGCCTCTCAGCTTTACAGGATCTGGAGGTGTGTGTTTGTACTGAGTTTACAGTAAAGAATGCTCACCTGATCTAGCAGCAGCTTCTGCCTGTGAATTACCTGACCTTATTATCACTACTGGAATCATTTTATTAGTCAATTATAACAACTAATGCAAGGTTAAGTGCACAGTAGCTTTCTGTTTGCACGACTTACTCAACACTGGCAATGAGTTAATATTTAATGAAGTGCACTGTAGCTGCAGTAAATGTATAATGTACAGTAATATATTTTGTGTGCTTTGTTCCCAAAGTCAACAACTGACTGAACTCCATCAGGAGAATGAATTGAAAATGAGTTGAGACATTTGCCACAAAGAGAGAAACTTACTGAAGAACTCTAAAGGCTTGAAGTCTGAACTTTTGAGAGAAATGAATCCATAAGTGTAATAAATGAACAAACTGGGTCAATAAATGATTTAAAATATATGGTACCTGCCAAGAAAAACTGCTCTTGGAGACTGTTAAAGCAGCTCAGACTTGGCCTTGCTATAAAGTGGATAGCTGAATACTGGTCTTATAAATCGTAGTTATTCTATTTAAATAAACTGGCAGCTGTTACCGTTTATTAGCTAACTGAACTGATGAGACTAAAGTTAGTACACTAACTATGACCATTTAGTTTGAGGAATGAAGCAACTAATGTGAAAAGTGGTCAACATATCTGACTGAAAACTTGATCAGAATGCTGCGTGAAAGTTATGTTAATTGGAAAATTTAAACCTGAAAAGAAGATCAAATAATCAAATATAAACAGACTGAATGACGTCGGTTACCAGGACCAACGCAGTGAGAGAAATAGATTCATTAGGCACTAGGGTCCTTGCAAAGCCTGGAATTAAAATAGACTGTCTATCTGGTAGCGTGACATTTTCTATTTTAGCATGAAAAGTGAACTATTTCTACTGGTTGTATAGAAGTAGTTTGACAAACTATTTCTTGTAATAGTTTGTAACATGCTGTTCCACATGTGTAAATGCATGCGACTCTCCCACTTTGGACCCTCTCATATGGATCTTGCAGCTGTCTGATGCTGCAGATATTTAATAAATTCAGAGTAAAGACTCCTACAAACAGCTGGAAGCAACAGACGTAACTTCCGCTCTGGATTACAGTTGTTATTAGTGAGTCTCGTTAATCAGTTTTATTTTTAATGGACAAATCAGTTTGTAACAGCTATAAAGGCAAAGTCAATTACAGAAATGCTTTGTGATTTTATCCGCAAACTGCGTCTTTGGAGATGTTTTTGGACTAATATTGGAGCTGAGCTGATAAATCCTTCTTCAAATCGCTTCACACAGCTCTTCAGGTTTCAATTTATTAATGTGACTGAGTGTAGCTCAGACTTGTGCCGTGTTTCTGGGAATAAGATCTCAACTTTAAAAGAGAAGTGACCAGTGTAGTCATTCAGGCATGAAGCTGACGTCTTCAGTTGCCGTCAGATTAACAGACAGCATGTCTGAAAAATCATGTAATCATTAAATTAATAAAACAGTACTTATTTGTACAAATTGTTATCATACTTCACTGCTTATACTTCAGTATTTGGGGGGAAATAGCTTTAATGATTTTTCAGCTCACAACTATGCTGAGGAAGTTAAAGTGTGTTTTTTTTAGTGAGTATGCGTGCTGTCTGGTTCTAAGACGTCAGCAAGCTCTGTTAATAATTTAAGGCAACCTGTATTTATCCTGAGAGATAAAACCCACAGCAAAGGAAAGCGTTTACTCCACTGCTGCTGTAAAACATATTACTTAGAGCAAACACAGATGAGAAAATAAACATTTTAATCAAGTTTGAAAGTCCAAACTAAAATGAAACTGTAAAATAGGAAGACGTTGTTAAAGTGTTGTTTAGGAATAGACTGATTATTATGGCTGATATTTGACATTTTACCAATTATCGCTATCGGTACATTTTTGACAGATTATTAATAAGGTAAATGCACTAGTTCAGGTCTGATGCAGCCTCCTCTCTGTGTCTGTCAAAGCAGGAAATCAGCTCCTCTCACTGTAGCTAAGGCTACGCTAACAGCTAGCGGATAAGTTAAAAGTCAGCCACAGATTGCCCTGAAACAGTGTCTGGAAAACAATAATTAATAACGCTTTGAGATGTGGACCTTAGTGGGCAATAAAAGTGGTAAAACAGTGAGAGATGAAGAAAACAGAAGAACAGCAGACGTAACTGCAGAAGACAAACAAAAGTGAATCCCTCATAATTATATATTTAAGTTACAGTCATTAATGAAGAAGTCTAGTTTTGGATGACAAGTTCTTTGCTATCACATGCTGTTCAATTGTTATATTTAATGTATATCGGGCCCAAATATGGGTCATCAGCCGTTCTTGAGCACCAATCAGCAACCCTGGAGAACCCATATTGGTTGATTCCTGGCGTTGTTGGAGCTTCGATCTGTTTCTCCATCCACTGCCTATTTAGCTGGACGAATTTATTAATAATAATTGATCAGATTTATGTAACGCTCTGCACTCAAAGACACTTTACAATGTCAATTATTTGTTCACACACATTCATTCTGCCGGTGGTAGCTACAGTTGTAGCCACAGCTGCCCTGGGGCAGATTGACAGAGGCATGGCTGCCATTCTGCCCCTCCGACCACCACCTCAACAATCCATTCATATGCATTTACACCAGGCAAGGCAACGACTATGACACAGGTTACAGGATGGAATCGAACCGCCAACCTTCCGATCATTGACCGACTCGCTCCACCACCTGAGCCACAGCTGCACCAATTTAAAATACATGTTTAAATTTTAATCTTAACATGCTACTTTTTTCTTGTGTAACAGGTACCAGCAGGACAAGAAGGCACAGGAGAAAGAGGCTGCAGAGTCCTGAGGCTTCCCTGTTTGCCAACGCTCCATTGCAGTGAACTAAAAGGGAGACTCCTCATCATCTCTACAGAATCCCACGTTGTCTCCATAACATCCATGCCATAACCATTGTTCTACCACATTAAGCCTGTTGTCCCTGTTGGAAATAAGCACTTTTCCTTAAGTTTCAGATTTCCTCAGGGGTGTAGTTAAGAAAAAGACAAAAAAAAAAAGAAAAGAAAAGAAAAAAAAAAGGACATTTTTTTTTAACTGTTGTCAACACACACTCAAGAATGGTGGTCATCAACGCACAAGTACTGCTTGTTCAGCAAGTTCCATGATTGTACAGTGTTTAATTTAACGTCATGCGTTATATTTCGTGCACGAGCTGGGAGGTTTTTCCATCGTTTTTTTTCCGATGTAGCAATCAGTACCTCGAGCAAAAGATTTCCCAAAAAAAAAAAAAGAATATGAAGAAATGTAACTCTTGGATTTGTGTTGAACGTGGTTTAAGGAATGTTTCCAAATGAATTTACGAAGGATGTCATCACATTTATCGCTTCATTCACTTATTTATAATTTGGTTAGAGTTCAGGCATCTGTACCTCAACGATCATTAAATCATGATTGATTACCATGTAAGGATTCCTTCCATTTTAATGGCTTTAAGTGTTTTAATCTGTGTGAAAACAAATCCTAATTTATGAATCACTTGATTTATCTCTTGTAGTCAAAACTGTATAGAAAGATGCTGTTTTTTTGTAATTCTATATCAGGAATTCTCACACAAATGCCACATTTTTAACCTGTGGAGCTTTTTGTTGATCCTTACCACAGAGTCGACGAGCAAACACTGGTACCGACGCTTCCTTATTATTAAAACCTTGCAGTCAAAAGCCTTGTTGTTCTTAGGAAGGTGTTTTATATTTTTTTTTTCTGTATAAGAATAACAGTTTCTTTGACATGTTCCCACCATATTTATACAGTATAGTCCAATGAGTAATTTAGCAATAATCGGTATTATCACGTAATCTGCTGACTGTTTGAACAAATGGCACTTTCGAGGGTTGATCTTGATGGCTCTGTGGCTCTGTAATGGCTCTGTAATGCTAATAAACACTGTTTAACACCTACAGCTGATTTACAGTTTGGGCATCTCATAGAAATATTAGAGATACAACAATTAGTCTTTGACTTTACACACTAAGATTAGTTGTGGTTGGTTCTACTCAGCTTGAAAACAGTTTAATCAACAATGAGCACATCATGTGTCTTCTTAGGAATCAGCGTATTCAGAGTTTGACCCAGACAAGAGATCTAAAATGTGAATATGTTGGACTCTGGTGTTTTAACTTTAACATTTCTCTCTTTTAAGTGACTCCTCATAGTTCAGACACTAAACCACCTTTAACAGAAAATGTAATTACGTTCAGGCAGAAAAACCAAAGTCTTCGTCTCTCCCAGTCCTAGTTTTCATCATTTTCTGCTGCTCTTTGTCTTTATGCCTCAAATCTCAACTGTTACTCAGATCAAATGACAAATGTAACACTATTATCTAACTTGTAGAACAAACTGTCAATCTCCTGACTGATGGTGACAACAGTTGGTTGAAGCCTTTAGAGACATGTCAGCAGGAGCACTAAATGTGCTTCAGGTGCATGAGTTGAATGTTCACTGTCATTTCTGAACAGGAATAACTGCAGTTAATGCAGGAGGCTTTGATCGGCTCTATTTGTGTCTCGGGCTGCATGTAGATGTGAGCCAGTGTTTCCAGTTCAAACGGTAAATCTCTCGGCACGTGGGCAGCTTTGGTCAGGAGACATGAGACAAGGTGAGACTTTATCTCCCTCTCCTGTCGACACAGTGAAATGCAGAGCTGAGCTGCTGGAGGATAAAAACTGCTCTCAAGTTACTGAAAGTATCAAAAATGCACCACAGCCGCCTCTAACTGGATTTGTCATCTGTAGTCTCAAACTTTTTCAATGTCTTATGACAATATTTTTAGATATCAAAGCTCTGATTTTGAGCAGCCTTGTGACTGGACTGACTTGCCATTTAATCTGAACTACTTGCAAAAGCTGAAATCAGGTTTCAGCAGCGTTCAGCGTTAAAAGAAAAACACAAACAGGAAGAGGTTGTGGCAAAGAGGCATCATCTGAACCACAGTTTCACATCATGCCGCCTGATTACGCTTCTCCTGACAGTCAGTACAGCGACACGGTCGCAACTTTTGCTTGTTTGCCATCAGAACAGGTGCCACAGATCTACCAGCAGAACAAGGGACACATCAAGGTGTCCAAGTCCACTGTCCTGAAAGAACACCAAAGTGTGTCCTCTCAAGAACAGATGTCCACCACTTCATTGTAAACAGCATTTTAAATGTAATTCTAATAACTTTTAGCATTTCTCCAAGTTATACTGACTGAACAGGCCAAACTAAAATCATAAAGCCACTCTTTTTGACTTGTTACAGCAGGTGCACAGCTGTTTTTAATGACATTAACAGTATCTCAGTGAGTCACAGTGCTCACCATCACCCTGAACATCCATCCATCCATTATCTATACACCGCTTAATCCTCACTAGGGTTGTGGGGGGCTGGAGTCTATCCCAGCTGACTTAGGGCGAAGGCAGGAGACACCCTGGACAGGTCACCAGTCTATCACAGGGCTACACTTAGAGACAGACAACCAAGCACACTCACATTCATACTTACAATTTAGAATCACCAGTTAACCTCAACAAGTTTTTGGACTGTGTGGGAGGAAGCTGGAGAACCCAGAGAGAACCCACGCTGCACGGGGAGAACATGCAAACTCCAGAAAGACACGAACCAGCAACTTTCTTGCTGCAAGGCAACAGTGCTACCAACTGCGCCACCTTGCAGCCCCCATCACCCTGAACAGTCACTCCTAATGTTTGTATAATTGCAACTTTACTTTTCCTGCTGTTAAAAATGCTAATTAGTCTGTACTTCGGCTCTTCGGCCACAGTGCCGTGCTGCAACTTGGTCATTTTGGTGCAACATTTACCAAATACTGCAATATATTAAACTTGAAAAAAAAACACAATATGCAAAACTGCAGAATGACCTCACCACAGTGTCTTGTTTAGAAATCACAAATCACACAAATGATGGTTTACCACAAAATTTTATTCACAACCTTTAACTATGAGTCAGGTTTAGCGTTTTCCACCAACGCGGGGTGCGCTGACCTTCATGGGCTTAGCGATCTTGGGTTTCTGTGCTGTCTTGGCTGCGGCCTACGAAAAGAGAAAGACATTGGATTCAGCATTGTACAATGTATAACTGAAAATCAAGATAACTTAATGAATACTGGGGTAGCAGGTGGCAACATTATTTATATGAAACTAAAAACCATCTTATTACTACATCAAATTCCCAGTATAGTCCTGAGTTATCAGGTTATAAAGCTACTAGACAAATAGATTTACATCTCCAGTATAGCAGAGATTTACTTTCTAACTAATGCAGAACAGTAAATCTTACCTTTGCACTTGGAGCAGCAGGCTTCTTGGCTGCCTGCTTTGCCTTCTTGGCCTCCTTGGCAGCTCTGAGAATTATGAGAAAAAAATATATAAATCAATGTACACGAGTAAAAATGAGAAATATGGATGATCTCCTCTCATCTATGTGCCATAATGTTGCTTCAGATTGACACTGTCCATCCTCAGCAAAAACACAACAAAAAAAGTACACAAACTATATATGGATAAGATTACAGAAATGCATCCTGAGCCAATAAAGAAAATGAAATGATTGCTAAATCGATGTATATCACACTGATGCAAAACTTTAATAAGAAATTACAGCAGTCTTACGTTCCATTACCAGCCAGGTAGATATGGAGGCTTGCTGCAATGCTGCTGTGATTTAACATTAATCTTTCCTCTACATTTACCATTTTTTACAAATAAGTTCAGACAATAAAGGACTGTAATTGTTCAGCCAGTTTTCAACAGTGGTTAATGCTATTCACAAGCTTTGAAGCCCATTTTCAGATTCATCTAAACACAAAGTTGATGTTTTCTTGAATAAGATTCCACAGAATACAGAGATAAAATGATTTCACTGGTTACAGGAGAAGCTTGACTAAAATAAATCAGAATCCACAACTTCAAACACATTACGTACTCAATGAACTTCTGAGACCTTTAACAGATTTAAGCGTCAAGTTCCACATTAGTTGATAATGGGCTGTGCGTCCTCTTACCTGATGGCCTGCTCCCTCTGGGCCTTGCGGACCTCGGGCTTCTGGTTCCTCTTGGCCATGATCTCAGCCAAGGAGGCCCCAGTGATGGCCCTCTGGAATTTCACTGCGCGGCGGGTACGCTTCTTTGTCACCTCTTCCTGTTAAACCACAAGAAACACCTGTTAATATGTACCCCAGTATATCGCACTTCAATATGGTTTACATGTCCACATCAACTCCAGGATCAGAATTGCCCTTTGACGGACAACTATGCAAGATAAGGAGCATGATTAGTAAAGTCAAGGTAATAAGTCTGTGTTAACTTATTTAAAAGAAATCTGTACATTTTCCTGTTATTTCTGGCCAAACATACAATACAATACAAATCTTGAGTAATCGAAAACCAAATCCACAAAACTTGTTATCAAGGTGAACTGCTGTTTTTGTTCTCATTTCTTATTACTGGGGCTGGTGATTTTCCTTTGGGATCGGCTAAAACCTCTAAGGGGGACACCAAAAATTCTGCTATGTAGGAAAAAGCTTCCTGTTAGATCAGTGGCTGACATGGTCTTTATTTGGATAAACATGTCTGGTTTAAGTTAAATGCCACCTGTTAATAACTCAGTAAGACTGCTATCCATCAGATGAAAGTAAGATCAGAAACTTCTATGTTCAGCTATAAAACATTTCTAGATTAATCCTACGAAGACATTAACTGCAGTGTACATCTCCAGAGGCATGTTTGTGAAATTTTGTGTTTGTGTTTTCATGAATCCCCAAACAAGCTACTATTTTTCTTTAGCAACTTAACTCAGGAAAACCAAGTGCAAGCAGATCAAAATTTCTCCATCGCCAAGGACAGCATTTCTACAAGTCAGTGTGTGCGTTTTCTGAGACAAATAATAGTTCTTACTGTTGCTTTTAAAAGCCAACACCACAAATATGTGAACACTGTGATGCATTACGGTATGCACCAGCTATCTAAAAAAAACGGTCAACTACAACGACAATTATGAGTACAAATACATTTCCCAGTCTACTTTAAACCTGACAATGCTAACAGTTTTTTTGGTGTCAAATACCCTGCAGTGTCCCTGAAATACTGACATTTCCTTTAAAGCCAACCCCCGGCTGTAAAGGAATACCACTGTGCATTATACATATACAGGTAATAAGTGTTGGCATGTTGGAGAGTTTGGAGGCTGACCAATGGTGAGATGTCTGTAAAGACGTCAAGGGCCAGTACTATGATCTCCGGTTTTTCTATGGCTGCAGGTGTGGCGTGAGCACTGCTGCCAAGTCTGCAAAACACAGACCAGCAACAGCACATAACACGGACTAACACCGTGCACACCATTCACCCGCAGCCAATCTAATGTGCAAATAGGAACCTTCAACATGTGCTTAATGGTATAAACTGAAGTACAGATCCACTGTGACTGTTTGGTAACTTTTACAACTACTTTAAACCACTGCAACAGTAAACAATGAGTAAAAATCAAATGCCACTTTCACAATCGACCAAATACGAGTACAAGAGGTAAATGCTGGACCAGCAAAATGTAAAGCAGACAGACACTGGCTGCTAGCAATGTCAGCATGTCCATACAGATTTAAAGACACAATCATTGAGTACATCTTCATTTCCACAGACAGCTCCTTGTCAGCCACCTAAAAACACACACAAACAAATCTGGGCTGTTACTTACAGACTGGCCCTTCTTGTGCTTGCGTCTGTACAGCACAGTCCAGTTGATCTGTCTGGGGTTCCTCTTGGCCAGGAAAGCAGACTCGCACTTGGCGTTCAAAAACTGGAACACCTGAGAAAGAGAAGGAAAGGAAACTCAGATGAATTACCAGTCACACACTTATCGCCAAAAATCACACCTTCCTTTGTGTATTTACAACTGTTTATAGAGATTTTGGACACTGATGAGAGCTGCTACACCTGCAATTTGTGCATCAACAGTGCACGCTAGGGCTGAGCGATGAAATGATTTCAAATCAAAACTGCAATCTGAAATAATTCCCAAAAGGTTTGGATTTAGGGTATATTTTACATTATGCTCCGCAGGTGAAACAAGGTTGAAACAGTCACATCTGTGGATTTAAAAAGTCATGCCGTCATCTTTGAGCAACATTCACACTTTTGAATGAATCTGATGTATCAAGGCTCCATCACATTTTAAATCTATTTACACCCTGAATACTGCAACCTATATTATAAATAGGGAATAATTTCCCTCAAGCATACCCATTAGGAGATTAGAAACACAGATATTTAAAGTATACATATTGACACAGCTCATGTTTTCTCCTGCACAATGAAGCGCAGGGCTGCAATTAACCACTATTTTAACAACTGATTCTTTTCTAAATTGCTGAAGTGATGATCTGGTTTGTAAAATGTCAGAAATTTATGAAAATTCTCAGTGTTATCGAACTCCAAGATGACATCCACAAATGATTTGTTTTGTCCATAATCCTAAGAAATTAAATTTTTACTATACAGGAGGAAGGAAACCAGAGAATATTCTTCTTACTGTTCTTACTGATCTACTAAAACATACAATAACTCTTATTTAGGACTCCATCCAGCTGTCCTCAGACAAATTAGTGAAGTTACTTAAACTTTAGGTAAAAGTTGATGTTGCCAACGTTTCTTGGATCTACTATAACAGTATGTAATAACACCAGTGCAGTCAAACACAGCAGTACTGCTAAAAACAGTTTCAAACCGAAATGCTTTCCTGTTTTGTGACGAAATGGGGACGCTACCAAGTTAGCCTAGCAGCTTGCGTTAGCACAGGATCCAATTGAGCAGACTGGGCCTGTTCCACAAACCTCAGCTTTAGTTACAAACTCGTTGCACTACATTTACAGTTAATACTAAACGTCAAACCGGTAAATTATAATCCACACATAATCTACGGTCAGTGGGAAACGAGGCCGGTCTCGGACTTTGTTGGACTCTTACCTTTCCGTCTATCCTGGCGTATCGGCGGCCATGGCCGGGGTATATTTTATACCCGCTGAAACTGCACAACTCGACCCTGAAAACGACAAATATAAATCATCACTGAAAGAAAACTGTGTACATTTCATTTTAACGTAGAAAGCGTCTCTGTAAGGTTTATTTAAGCGTTAAGATGGCATTTGATAGCATTCTGAACACTCACTTCATGATGGCTACGAGAGGGCACAAAACCGGAAAGGAAGATGACGGACACGGAAACTGAATTGGAAGACTGCAAATCGATATTTGTGAATTAAAAAACAGTAAAAAAAAAAATTTAGTCAGTTAGAGTTTTATAAATGCCATACAGGTAATATACTCACACATATTGTTTTAGCTATTTTAAAAATGGTAAATAAAATTAATACTTTGACCAATCATTACGCCGGTAACGTCACAATCTGACGGTTGCCTAGCAAGCGTATCAGCAATGGCTCAGCAAGCTACTTTTCTTGCTCAAAAAATAAGATAGTAACGTGTTGAATTAAGCATGTGAGCACGGAAATAGCAACTTTAAAAATATCTAGCATTAGTACGTTTTAGGTAACAATATCAGCAAGCTTCTTTTCTTCTTTGCTATTACCAAGCTGGCGGGTTTCTGCAACACAAGCGCGCTGTAGTCAAATTGTAGTCTTTTCGAAGCCCAAAGACACAACGCTGTAATGACCGAGGTTGTCTCTGTGAACTACATTTCCCATGAAAACCTCGGTTACGCAGTTTGACAACCCGCAGACGCCTCTTGTCTTTCTCAGTCAGTACAGTCTACAGCTAAGAGAGTTGTTAGCTAGCGTTAGGTGTTTGCTGGGCCGAAAGGATGGGTGTATCAGATTTACAGTTTGATACAAATTCTGGTAAGAAGAGATTTTTTGGGTTGTTTTGGTCAGAAAAACAGCAACGTTTGGGTTTTGTTTAAGAGTAGTCGGTGAGAGGATGTTTGTTACCGGTTGACGTTAGCTGCATCATTACTGCCGTTAGCTTGTTAACGTTACATGGAGACCAAAACATCCCGTGTCAGTCCTTTGGTGTCAGATTAACAGATTAGGCTGTATAGAAGTGTAACAAAGCGTAAATATCAAAATAGATTGTGGCGCGTTAATGTTCTGTATGTATTCGCATTAGATTGGAGAGAAAACATATTTGCCAGTACATAGTCCTCCTTGGTCCTCATTGATAATCTCCTTTCGTGCCTTCAGATGTCATGGCCAGTGACTGGGGCCAGCATATGTTCATTTTTTGCAGGATAGATCTTCAGATTTGATCATGCAGGAGACTCTTATGTACGGTACATGGGGGTTATTTACATAACTTGGACTAAAACTCAGAGAGACAGATTAAAAATGAAGAATGCAACTCCGTGTCCTCTTGATCCTCATCTCTCAAACTCTATGCTACCAGATTGAAAATGCATTTTTTTTTTTGTTTCAAGCCTAACTCAAGATAACCCTGATATCGGTGTATGTGTATACTCAGTGTGTGTTTAGCTGATTTAACATCTTGTGTGTAATGTTAGCATGGAAATGAATAAATTGTCACTTGTTGTGGTTTTCCAATCTCTTGAATCTCGTTCCTGCCAGGCCCTGTGTTGGATCTTTCAGCCAGAGGTATGCAGAAGCTGGATCCCAATTTCATCTGCTCTGAGGACACTCACACTCTCATTTTGGACAGAAACAACATCATGAAGCTGGACCACCTGGAGAGGAGCCCTGGCCTTCAGCAGGTAGTAGAGCCTGTGAACGCTAGGCTGTTTTGCTCAATTGTCAGCTTGGTTTTCATAAGTTATTGATTTGATCATTTTATTTCAAACTTTGTCTGTTCCTCTTTAGCTTTCTGTAGCTAGTAACCGTCTGGTGAGAATGATGGGGGTGTCTCGACTGACAGAGTTGAGAGTCCTCAACCTTCCCAACAATAGTATCGGCTACATCGAGGGGCTAAGAGATCTGCCTCATCTTAAGTGGCTCAACTTGTCTGGGAACAATATTAAGGTGACGAGAAGAAAGTTTCTCACATATTTTACTCGTATATTGTCATTCATTTACAAAAATTGAGCCCATGCATAGTGGTAGATGTTTAATCGGCCCTACAATTTTTCACAGGTCATTGAGCAACTTAACAACTGTGTCTCCCTTCAACATCTGGATCTGTCTGACAATAACATCAATACTATTGGTGACCTGACTAAACTGGCGGCATTAAAGGTCAGTGTTGCTGAAACCTCAGAATGCGGGCTTAAACAAGAATACGAGTAGCGCTGGGGCTCTTTTATGTATCACTGATTCATTTTCTGTCACGTTTACAGACGCTTTTACTCCATGGAAACAGCATTACGACACTTCGTACTGTTCCTGCTCACCTACCTGCCCATTTATCCATTCTCTCATTGGCAGAAAATGAGATAAGGGATCTCAATGAAGTAATTATCGTTACTTTGATTTGATACAGCAGCACTAACCTCAGTCTACATTACACTTGGATTAATTATTTTGATTTGACTTTAATCTGATTACTCCATAGGTGTCATACCTGGCGCCTCTTCATGAACTGGAGCAGCTGTCCATTATGAGCAACCCTTGTGTTATGGCGACGCCCTCATTGCCAGGTTTTGATTATCGGCCATACATCATGAGTTGGTGCCTGAGCCTGAAGGTTTTGGATGGCTATGTGGTGTCGCAGAAAGAAGGGTGTGTACATTCCTATGCTGTCACAATGTGCGATTGCAGAATTATGCAAAAGTTTAATCACAACATTTGAATATTAATGTGTGCAATTCTGATAATTACAGTCTAAAAGCAGAGTGGCTCTACAGTCAGGGTAAAGGTCGTTCATACAGACCAGGACAGCATGTTCAGCTGGTTCAGTACTTGGCCACTGTTTGCCCTCTGACTGCATCACCAGCCCTGGAGACAGCAGAAGATGCCAAACTGGAGAAGATCCTAAATAAACAGAGGTATAAATAGGAATTTAGCAGTGCTGTTTCACCACACGAACCACAAAAAACACCAAAGACTATCATCATCTACGAGTAATAACCACTTTATTGCCATGGTAACATACATAATTCTTAACCCTTCTTAATGTAAAGTATTTCCTTGACATTTGTGGTCTCAGGTTTCATCAAAGGCAGCTGTTAGAGGAGACCCGGGGAGGCTGCCCCAGCCTTCCTCGTCCAACTCAACTAGATGTGGAGAAGCACAGTCCTTCACATGCAGCCCCACAGGGGGGAGCTCGAGAAGCAAAGAAAATCACTGCACCTGGACCAGCTGCTGCTCCATCAGGCCTGGAGACGGGTAAGAAGGCTACTTTGTCTCCTTGTTTCTCTGCACAAGTAGTTGTGATGTAGTACTTGCGTTTTCTTAATGTTAATTGTTTGGTTTGTCTACTTTTGTGTAGAGCCAGTGGTGCAGTTTAACACCTGGATGAGCTCTGATTCTTCTCATCCATCACTGCCGGTAGTTCGCAGCCCAAGGCTTGGAGAGGACCACATTTATTTAGAGGATGTGCAAACAGATGAGGACAAACTCAACAGCAGCTTGCTTTCCTCAGAGTCCACCTTTCTCCCCCTCACATCCGATCTGGAACCACACACCACCCGCTCTGACAGCGAGGATGAAACTGAGACATTTGAGCCCGATTCACTGGCTCCAATGCGACCAGCACAGCCCAAAAAGCACAACACAAACAAGACACATCATTCGCCCCCAGTGGATAAGCACGAGAGGAAGATTCTTGAAGAAGAAGTTATTTCCGGTGCCACCACAACATCTGGATCACCGGGTGTCAGAGTTAGCACACCACAAAAAGATGTGGAAGCGTCCTCTGATTTTGGTCAAGCAGAGATGAAAGAAGCCCCCAAGCAGGAGGAAGCTGGCATGTGTGGCAGTAAATCAAGTGTGATGGAAGCAGACAGAGCAGTGATTAAAATACAGTCCTGGTGGAGGGGACACTATACTCGGTGTTGTCACCCCATGGCCAGAGAGGTGCGCAGTGAAATCCGCCTGCGCAGGATGCAAGACCACATCGTGTTTCTGTCTGACAAGTTGGACACGTAAGTAAAAATAAATAAATAAATAAAAATCTGTAATGGTAATAAATCATTTTTGTTTGCTATCTATTTTATTTATGATCAATGTGTAAATACTAATTTGCCCCTCTGAATCCCAAAACCTGCCAGTGTATTTCTTTCAAAAGAAATCACTAAAACTTCACCATTTATCAGCCAGGAAATGTCAAAACAGTAAGAATAGTTGGATTTTCAACCGTCTGACAGTCCTTGAACACATCATGATGTATGGAGCTGTTCTGTCATGAAAGACAACCACATCTGTGCTTAAAAATTCTCTACATTCTATATGTCTTGTTCAAAAATTCAGCACCAGATCTTGTAAAATAATAAAATATTGCACTCTTCAGCACAACTGAGAAGCCATGACTGACTCAGCTGAGATCAACAGTCACAGGACAAAAATTGTGTGAACTGCAAGCTGTGTTTACACAGAGCAGAAAGGAGGCGACGAGTGGGATTGAGAGAAAAGTGAAACATACTTGGTCAATTAAAGAAATGCAGCATGTCTCAGAAACAGCTTACAGAAGAGCAAATTCCTGGAAAATACATTCAACGTGGTGAAAAATCTGTCTAGAGTTGATAGTGGAGTAGTTTGAATAATGCAGTTTGTGGAGCCTGAAAAAAAAAAGAAGTAAATAGGCCTCGTCAAAAAGCTGATCTATAGCATGTGGAGCCTCCATTTTTTTCCTAGTATTGTTAACACCTGTGGACACCTCGAAAAATGTCCATATTGATTCAGTTTTTTTTCAGTATTCATACAATAAATAATTACATATTATTTCTTATGATTTGTGGCTTTATAACTATCATACTGCATAGAAGACGTGTTTTAGTTCTTTCTTACTTTTAGATGTGATCAGGCTGTTTCTATAGAAACACAAGACTTTGTATTGCAGTGAAAAATGAGCCCACAGTGAGTGAAAGTGTGACAGGAGCAAATAAAATGCAAGAAACTGGTTGGGGTTCAGAGGGCTAAGGTACAGCTGGTTAAGGTAAATGTAATGTGTTTTCAGTGTGCAGAAGCAGTATGAGGAAGAGCGGTTACAAAGGCTGGTTCAGGAAGAAGCTGTGAAGTTTCTGTGGAAAGAGGTCAGTCGTTGAAGTTGTTATTTATCATTTCCACACATGATTCATTATGTATGTGAAGACTTCCAGAGATAGGCTCTTAACCTTAAACTTTCACTGTGTTCTCCACATAGCTCCAGTCCATGCAGCAGTGGAAGCAGTCTGTGGAACAGCAGCTAGCAGCCATCACTCAGGCTGGCGCCCCAGCTCAGATCTCATCCCCTGGACTTTGTAAGGCAGCCCCACCTGTTGCCTCCAGCACCACGAACCCACCCAGCACAGACGCTTCCTTCCCCGATTCTGGCTTCCAGTCGACCAGTGATCAGCAGGCAGCGCAGGAGGACAGCTTCCTGAGCAGCGGGACAGCAGACTCTCTGAAGACGGTACGAGCGCTGAGCCCCGTTCGTAGCGGCTTCGCTGTCGGTAGCGAGGGCGCGGACAGCGCAGACTGCAGCCTGCTGGAGCAATACCTGTCCTCGGTGCAGCAGAGGGAGGAGGAGGCTGAGGAAGTGAGTAGCGATCGAACAGAAACACCACAACCCTCCTCACCAGCGTCACCCAGCAGTAAAGCACAGACCAACTCCCCCCAGCAGAAGGCAGCAGATAGCACTCCTGGCTCTGTCTGAGAATCTTCACCTAACGGACACCTGTACAGAATACTGAGTGTATGTAAACTGGCACAGAGCGTAAGACTGAGATGCGTCGCTCCCTCTTGAGACTTTGAAAACTGCACTTATCTTGACTACTGACCTAGATCTCATTTAACAGTGCTCTTAGTTTCTACTGTTTGTCAAGACTGAACCCAGAACAAGCTTGAAGCACTATCTTACTGTGAATGTAACTCCAGTTTGTTTTTTATACTTCACTACTTGGACCTGTTCTGTTATTAACGCACATTTTTCTCTCTGTGTAAAGACAATGATTGTGATGTAGCTTCAGAAGGTATCAGTAACGTAAAGGCCGTTGTTTTATGTGAGCAGGTTACTACCTCTACTGATGAAAACAGGCATGTTGTAACCTGTTCTATTTATCTATATCCACTGCAACATATACTTGTGATAAACTACAATTATTCCGATTAGGAGTTGATGTGTTAAATGCAATACACTTGTAACCACAGATGTGCTGTACTGTATTGACATACAGTGTCAATGGATGAACCATTTTGTACCAACTTTAGCTTCAGGTCGTTACCTGATTAACAGAAGAATGTTGTAGCATCCTTATCTTAAGAAAAATGTAAATAAATCTGCAATTATACTTTTCTAAATATTCTTGTTTGGTATAGTATTATGTGCAAGTATTGTAAACATATAACTACACCTAGTTTTGCTTGCAGTAGCAGCAAAGGAGACAAACATTGAATTAACAATGGCTCAGTTCTATAAGTCCCATTGAGCCCAACTGCAGAGTACAAGAATGCTGGGAGCTCAGCTAAATGGACTGCAGCCTTGTTAATGATATCAATGATGCCTGTGCTGTTCCTGCTATCCATCCATTATCTATGCACTGCTTAATCCTCACTAGGGTCGTGGGGGGGCTGGTGCCTATCCCAGCTGACTTAGGATGAAGGCAGGGGACACCCTGGACAGGTCACCAGTCTATCACAGGGCTACACTTAGAGACAGACAACCAAGCATACTCACATTCACACCTACAGAAAATTTAGAATCACCAATTAACCTCAACGTGTTTTTGGACTGTGTGGGAGGAAGCCGGAGAACCCAGAGAGAACCCATGCTGCACGGAGAGAACATGCAAACTCCACGTAGAAAGATCCCGGGTGTCCTCACCGGGACGCGAACCAGCGACCTTCTTGCTGCGAGGCAACAGTGCTACCAATTATGCCACCTTGCAGCCCTTCTGTTCCTGCTAAGACAAGCAAAAAGATATCTACTATATAAATGGTCCTATTGGGCTGACCTGTAGTTAACACACCTGTTTCCAATGTACATATGAATAATAACGAGAGTGAGCTGTGCCATTCATCAGTTATGATGCCGCTTGCACATGTATCTGTTTGGTCAATGCAGAATAATGTATTTCTTGAGAAAG